TGACCCATAGACTTCTAATGATCTCAAATGCAGATGCATTGGCACCCGTGAGAATTAACATGTATTACCTCGTTTCCAGTAAAAAAGGAGTCCGGTTCTCTACATTTCTGTGTGTGTGCTTTCAAGCAGTTCGTCCTGTAGAGCCAGAACTTTACCCCACTTTGTCATGCATTTCACTTTAACACTCACTGTACAATGATGCTCACAAGGTTGAAAGCGCACTTGTAGTCTTCTTTATTTGGACTGTAGGTATGCATGAACTGACTCGATGATGGCCTGAGGAGCTGCAGGCGTACAGGTATCTATTGACTCATTGCAGGATGGCCCATAGCCTCTTCCAGGGAACGGTCGCTTTCCTTACGGAGATCTCGTGTCACCTCTCACCCCCAGATGATCCCGTGTTCTAGTGGTCAGATTGACTACTACGCCGCGGATCTTGGGGTCGATCTCGAACAGTAACCAACATTTGTGCGAAAAATTGTTGGATTTTAGGTCTGGTCGTGTACTCATACCGTGTTTCTGACAATTACATCCTAGTCAACATCGGTCTTATGATTGTAAACATTACAGACGGCACGAATAAGTCAGAAGTCTGGACAAGTGAGTGCCTATACATGTTGACTAGTCAAATAGACTAGAGAATGGTGTTCTATTATCATAAATATACTTTAATATATGTAAAAATAAAACTTACCGTATAGCTATACATTTTTGAGGCAAAACGATAGACTTTGTGTTCTTAATTTTGCGTATCCACATTAAATTAAAAATAAAATCCAGCTAAATATTTGATGCACTTCTACCGAATATTCAAAACATAATGAACAACAAATTATTAAAGTGTTTAATAATTACGCAATAATTGCCTAATGTATAAACAACTTAATGTTCATTACTTTTCATTAGCGATTTTTAGTTATTTCACCTCATAAATGATTACTTACTAAAATATTGCAAATGTGTTACGTAAAATGTTAAGTAAAACCTGTGCATAAAAAGTATTACCTGACTTCTCAATGATAACTATCGCTCTTAAAAATATTTTTTCATTGTGTTAGAGTGTCGCTGTGTAGTATCGGTGTACAGAAGAAAATCAACCAGAAGATCGGCGGCAGTGTCTTTCTGATAACAACTAGAAAATAAAAGACTGCGGTTGTCATATATGACTACACTATGACAAGTAAACCTTTGTGAGGTAGTCTATGAGTAGGCCTATGTTCAGCAGGGGACATTCTAATGCTGTATTGCAGATAATGATGATGATCAATGTTAAGAGTCACAACCGAGCTAATGATTAGTGACTTCTGCAACCCATACATTACAAATGCTCTAAATTAAGAATCAAAAACCTCTGAGGACTAAGATGGAATGTCTCGTTATCAGTAACAACCGACTTTAATATAAATAATTTATTGTTGATTTTTTAGAAACCGCCCGACCGATTTCGATAAAATTTCAATGGGACCACTTGGAAAGTATACCCTTTGAAATAAAAAAGAGTTTTCCAAATCGGCACAGGCGTCTTAGAGTAATCGGTGAACATACATAGAAAAAAAGATTCTGACGAATTGAGAATCTTCTCCTTTTTTTAAGTCTTATCATGCTGCTATTTCACATTGGTATTTTGTGCCAACATGGTCCTTCCCCGATCGAGCCAACCCATGCGTAGTAGTCAGAATACTGTAGCGTGGCTCTACCCCGTACATATTACGTATTTATTGTTAGCCCCTGTAACGGTGCATCAGAATGCACCCTTACAAATACTTATAATTAATTAATCTTAAATAGATAATAATATAGATATAATCTTAAATAAATAATAGTAATATAATATTCTAATCTAAAAATAAAAATAGACTAGTTAATTTAATCCGCGCAGCGTGAACCATTTTGCTCAACGATCTCTGAAACAAAAGACTCCGTGGGATTCGGACAAGACGACGAGTTCCCTTTCGGGCCATTCCTTTTGCATTTTTACCTGAGACTGCTTCAAGTTCGCAACGCGTGTGACTCTCCTACTAACGACCGTTGAACTTGCTTACCTACAATTAAAATTTAGGTATTCAGGTATTCAGGTGCAGTTGATCCCGCTGGGGATCTACTACTACCTAGCATCTCCCTGCTACTTAAGGGCTACTGCTTGCCGAGCCGCGAGCTAACGGAGTGTTGGCCTACCCTCCTACCAACGGCCATCATCACTGTCGGGCTTGGGTATCACCGGCTACTTCTACTAGCTGGCTGTCTACGACCTTGAGGGAACAGCGCATGGACTTCGCCCCTACGTCAAGCCAGTGATCCCCTTCATAGAAACTTTATTGTACGTGTGCGGAAGTAAGATAAATAAATAATAACGGTACACCCCAGCTTTATCTGGTTTGGATTTATTAACATGGCGTCCTTTAGGTTTAAACTACTTATTAGGCTACTTTCGATCGTGTAGACTACGACCTTCCGCTCCACAAGCTCTATTTGCTTGGAATTCAAGGAGACCTACTCCGGTGGGTGAGCTCTTATCTTTCTAATTGCTCTCAGGCTGTAGTACTGGGCGGATACAGATCCGATTACGTAACTGTTCCCTCGGGTGTTCCACAGGGATCACACCTTGGCCCGATATTCTACAATGCGTACATCTTTGACATTGCCAACTGTTTTCTATTCTAATCACTTATTATATACAGATGATAAAAAATATACCAGGCAGTTCGTTTTGTTGAAGATTGTAGATTGTTACAATACAATTTGGATACCTTGTTTTCTTTTTATCAACACAATAAGATCTATGTCAATATTAAAAAATGTCAGATTATAAGCTTTACGCGCGTGAAAAGTCTAATTGTCTTGCCTTATAACTTTAATAATCAAGTATTAACACGAGTCAATGATGTACGTAATCTCGGCGTTTGTTTTGATTCCAAGATGCTCCTTAATATGTATTATGCTAATATAGCAGATAGAGTTACCGTATGCTTGGATTTGTTTTAAGGAACTGTCAACCATTTAAAAGTACTTTAGCATTAAAAACGTTATATTTTGCACACGTGAGAAGCATATTGCAGTATGGTCGCCTTCATATGAAGTTTATAAGGCACGCTTAGAACGTATTCAGAAAAAGCTTTTTAAAATCTCTAAATTTCAGGTGCGACGTCACCACGCACACATTTATGTCTTATAGTCATAATTGTCGTAAATTTAATCATCTTACGTTAGAAGAACGCCGTGAGATGTCAGACATGGGTTTTTTGTTTGATATTTCACGCGCTCAACTTGATTGCCCTGTTCTGCTTTCACAAATCCCCTTTAATGTTCCCCGACGTAGGACCAGACATACACCTTTATTCAGTGTTCCTTCACATCATACTAACTATGGCAAGAATAGTGCCCTCACCAGAATGGTTAAGTTCTTGTAACTATAGAGTTAGTACCAAAAAAACAGATTTACTGACAGTAAGAAATAAAACAAAACTGAGTTTTTAGAAACAAGCTGAAAAAAATGAAAGCCCCGTCGTCTGATAGATATACCTGAAATTGACAAAGCTAAAACTGACCCGAAAAATATTATTGCAGTTGTAGTAGATATTAGGACAAACTATTTTACCAACTGGGTACCAAAATTGGAGTTCTGAACCATCTTTACACACAAGATCAATTTACCTTATGCTCGGAAGATTTCATCAAAACAGAAGAAGTTGTTAAGGATAAAGAAGTGAGTCCTCGAGAAGTTGTTGGAAAATTGTATTTGACCGGAGGTCAAGCATTCAAAAAATGCAATTGCCTAAAAATTCTTGACGAATAAGTGCACTTCCAAGTCATTAGGATTAATTTGTAATTCTAAATCCCACCATAAGCTTGCAATGTTATAACAAGTGATTTTTGTTATTTTTAATTGATGACAATTAATATCGAATACCAATGCAGGTGCGGGCCCTCTAAAAAAGAGTAGCCTTTTTTAAATTCGCTATAATTTGTGAAAAGAAAAATTTTACATAGGGCAGCGCGGCGGACACATCCTTCCTCTAAAGATTCTCAGAAATGATAGGAGGCCTGTGCCCACCTATGGGACGTATATAGGCTGTAACTTTACTTTTATATACGTATTATATTTCGCACCTGCCAACAATTGTCTTTGGCACCCAGGGTTGACAGACAGAGAAGCAACAACTGATTATAGTCCGATCCGGCATTTGACTGCTGATCATGAGATCCACTTTTGAGATTACGTTCTGTGGATCAACGAGGCAGTCGATTCAATATTATCCTTATAAACTCATACACATTTCACGCATGGGCATTGGCTACCCACAGTTGTGAGGCTTTTTATCACAGTTATATACACTTTCATTTATTTTTATTTAAAAAGCTTAAATGTAACACCCTAAAGTAAAGGGTACATAGGGCGGACTTAACGCCATCATGGGTTGCCATCGAAATCTACGAGATATGAGAGTGAGGGAATAGAGAGTGCACATGTTTTTGCTCACATATTTGTGCAGTACAATCCTGTCCTGCCATGAACGAAATTCGGTTTGGATGACATTATTAATACTTGATGTCATGGTCTATGGACAGAAGTTACCAAATACCATTAGATGGGGTACTTAGTTTTTTTTTATTGCAACAGTAAACATGTTAGTTATGGGATAAAGTAAGTAATACTCAGCAATAAATTTACAATAAATTTACATTTTTATATCATTACAAAACAATGAGAAGTAAATTTATAAAAAAGAGTTTTACATAGTTACGTCGAAAATATTTTGTCTTGTAATTTATTTTAATACAAAACACGTTTCGTACTGACATTGTAAAAGTTACGTACAAAATAGTAATTAGAAAAAATAGAATTAAGTATGTATCTCCGCTATCTTTTCCAATATTATCTTATAACTATAGAACATTTCAAAATATTTTTTCTTTTTTTTAATATAAAATATATTTAAAAGGTGGTAGTTATTTTACTTATTATTATTATATTGTCTATTATCACAATTTGTTGGATCGTATCATAAATACGTCGTAATAAGGTAACTATATTTTCTGTAGTCTTCTGAGAGTTGTCTTGTAAGATTCGATATTTTCTTTTCATTGCTTATTATTTCTTCTTTTAGGTCCAGTTTTTCCGTAGCACTAGTAGTCGTTGTTGTAGGTCCTTGAGTAGGTACTATGAAACTGTTGACTCCATGACTCAAGGTTATAAAACAAAGGAATAGGATAACCTGAAAATAAAATCAAGATTATTATAGATTGATAAACACAGGACTTCGTATATTCACGCTTGAAACGATTCTTTACATTGCTAGAACCCTATAACATTATATGGGTGGCTTGGAATTTCATCCTCATCCTCTGTTATACGTTCATCACTTCATCACATACCGAATATAAGCACTATAGTACGTGAGGGTAATAAGGTCATAAAACGGCACTACTTTATTTTGATAGTTGAATTTATAGTAAATATTTTAGTCGATTTTAGTATTGTGTAGTGTAGTTAATTTTTTTAAGTAAATTTTTTGAAGTGTTCCTAATTATATCCAAAACTTGTTTGATTTTTTTTTTCTTAATATATAAGTTATAGTATACGACCATGTGTTTTTGTCTCTTCCTTCTGTCCTCCTCCGAGTTTTGGTTTTATAGGGCATCAAAGCTTAAGGTGACCATATCATCCTCTCGTACCTTAGTGCTACTATTATACCAGAGATTGTATCATGCCAAGAGCAACTGTTTGAGATTCGTGGAAAAGTATCATGCACGTGACGTAAGACTTCCCAAAATAATGGCATCCAGTTGAGCGAGCACTTTTAAGTCTCGTCTGTTGGCTTATTTTGGACATTTTTAATTTTAGAATGAAAGTTTACACCATTGCCGTACTAAAATGTATCCTATATCTGTATCTGTTGCACAAGAAATTTAATCGTGTTTATTTGAATAAATATGAATAAAAAAATATGAATATTATTTATCATATATTTAATAACAATAATAAATCGATTAATGGTTTGCAAACTAATTAGGGTTAATTGGTAATACCATTAATATCTAAGCGCTATATTTGACTACCTATAGATATTATTATGATATTGATATATCTGTACTCACTCGGACCAACAAAAAAAAAAAGACGAAGCGATGCGTACATTTCAAGTGACGTAAACACCAAAAAAAAAATCATACCCAACCTGTTGTAAGAACAAGCAGTCAAGTACACCTATGTATCTAAAATCATTTGCAGCCAATAAATGATTTTAAGTGCAGTCAAATTTTATAGGCGAAACGAAAGAAGAAAGATGTGTGCGTGAGTGCGTGTTGAAGTTGAGAATGGTTTCAACGTCACATGAAATACGCAGTGGTCCGTATATTTTCTTTGTTGGTCTGAGTATCTTTCAAAAGTCAAATGGTTTAATAAGTCGGTTAATTGGACGGTTCGGAGGCTTAATTAAAAACTGTAACTGTTAATTGTCTCAAGAAAGTTTTATCTAATCGAAAGACTGAAGTAGATATAGATTCAGAACCAGTAAGATATTTCTTTAATGTATAATAGAACTTATAAGTTCTATTATACATTGAAGAAATCTTGCAATATTAAAAAAAGAAACTTATGTGTACAATTTACCGAAGTCTTGTTTAAATCATAGAAGTATTGAAGTACATTATACCAACATTTGTAGTCACAAAGGATTTAGATCAAGACTCGATGAAGGCTCTTCAGCACTTCAGCTCTTATGAAGTCCGAAAAATATTCTCGTGTTAAGTTTGAGTTGTACGTACCTTATGAGTCACAAGGAAGATACAACTCTCTTTTTGAACGTGGTAGAAGCACGCTGTAGCTATATTAAGGTTGTAGCACGAATGGGTCGGCTGTACCGGGGACCACGCACTCACAGAACACCAGTATAAAATAGCAGTTTGATGTGTTTCGTATTGTGGTTGTAGAGAACCGGAGACCCTTTTTACTGGAAACAAGACATTCCATCTTAGTCTTCAGGGCTGTCTGAAGGCATCGGCATTTTGATTCTTAATTGAGGATAAATGTATATTATGCATATGGGCCACAGCATCCACTTACCATCTGGTGGACTGTGTGTTCACTTGTCACCCTTATTCTATAAGAAAAAAACTCAAGTCACGAGTCACAATCTGTGACCAGGAGCAGATGCTTGCTAGAAAGTCCACGGTACACTTTGAAGAGTATCGCGGAGCGACTTCGCTACGCAATCCGAGACAGTCTCTTGACATATTTTGGTCAGTATCTACTCCTTTGTCACATAAATGAAGCTTCTTGACTTTTTGTTAGGACACTCCCTATCAAACCATGATTGATGCAGAATGATGGCCACCTGGTGCACCCCTAACAAGGTGCGATGCTTTTTTAGAGACTTTACCACTTTGCTTGTTGCAAATGCTCTTCAATTCGTGGTTTTAGATATTTATAGAACACATTTATATGTCTTCCATCAGCGCATCAAGACAGCAAGAGTTTTTATCGACTTACTCTCATGCAGAGACTGATTTTTTTTTTATAAGAGAGGGTGCAAACGAGTATGCGGTTCACCTGATGGAAAGTGACTACCGCCGCCCATGAACAACTGCAACACCAGGGAAACCAGGGGAATTGAAGATGCGTTGCCGGTCTTTTAAAAATCGCTGATGGTAATCGATTCCACTGGCTGGGATTAATCCGAACAATTCCTCAGAGCACTCCCCGTGGTAAATGCGATATTATAATATTTAGATCATGTCCATTATCGAAGGTAAGCACATAGGAGTAGCGTCAGGTCTTGTTCAATAATTTGCCATAAGGTTCTATCGGTAATAGTTGATAACTCCTCTGAGAGTGAGAGTCCTATTAAAACTGACTTCGATCTGTAAGGACCAGACGGATTATGTAGGATATTTTATGGTCTTCGACGGAGGAATTGTTTGCACTGTACTAGACGATAATGCGATATACAAACAAACGGCCTTTGAATCATCTTAAAAAGACTGTGACGCCATCATGTAATTTAACAATCACGATTAAAATGTTATGTGGAATGGCGGCAAACCGATCAAATAATCTAACATTTGAATTGAAAAATATTTTATAAAATTAGGATATTATTTAAGGCTAAACATTTAATAAATTATCTGTGATTAATAGATTCTTTGTGGTGTAAGCTGAATAGAAAACAAGGGAATATTATATGCGTAAAACAATTATGTATTTATAGTTTTAATGTTGAGAAAATTATATTAGTAAAAATTTAAATTGTTTATTTTTCTTCGTAACCTTGATTATCCATTTCCTAAACTACACGCACACTACACCAATGTTATTGTTACCACAAGGCACTAGGTGATAAATTTAACGTCACATGTAGATATATAAATAAATATAATAAAAGCGTCAGTAGCCTAATGGCAGTGTGTGAACTCGAAAGGTCGTGGGTTCGAATCCGCCATTCGACTACTGTCGTGATCTACTTCTAACACAAGCATTTTAAGCTTACCAGAAGTGGTTAAAGGGAATATTAGTAATGTTTAATAGCATTACTAGTATTTTAAAAAATATTTTATATTATTTTAATAGGGTTCTTTTGATGTAACTTTTGCTTTCTTTAAAAAAACGTAGCACCCTACTGGAAACTTTTATGTAATGTCATAATGTGGGAGAATTTTACTTACCTACACAAATTAAAAAAAAAGTACTAACACCTTTAACAGTTATCAATAGACCTTAATTTGCTAAAACTGTCACAGCCAAGTCAAATAATTACGGGGCTGACAATTTTTTTTTACATAGAGGAGTAAAAGTAATAAAAACATGCGTGAGTGTCGTGGAACATTCGATTGGAACGAAGTTCCTTTCGTAGAATATTATTATTGATAAACGTAAAATAACGGAAAATAATATTCCTTTCATGGCAAGATAAGAAAAAGTGCGAGGGAGATGGATATTATTCCATCTCGCTTCCTTATAGCCGCCAAGGCCGTCTACACTACGTCAGAAGAGGTCGTGACGTGACGGAAAAATCTTACACTTTTTGTCGCCTAGCCCTCATCTGCCAAATCCGTACCCTTCGTTATAGAACTTCCTTTCAAAAGCCTTTTAGTAGGCAGAGATCGAATACAACAATTATTTGGACGAAATATTTTGGTACCATTAAAAGTTTGTTCCTAAAGAGTTATAATACAAAGTTATTAGTAAAACAATACAAAAAAATTCGAACGGTATTTTAGCAAAACGTTTGTTGACTATATCTTATTTAAAAAAAATATTATTGTATCCCAGGTAAGATAGGAGCATACAAGAGAATCAAACAGAAGACATCAGGTAAAATTGTTAGAAAGCAAAATCGTTGGATTAAGTGTTGCCAAAAGAATAGTTTATAATGAGAATGGGTATATTTAATTTTCTACTAAATACAAATAACTCATACTAGTCTGACGGAAAGGAATATTTCTTTTATTATAAAACGTGTTTAGAAGTAGATAACTTCAAAAATAATAATAATGTCTAAAATAAATAAGATGATGAACATGCGTTAAAGTAAGGGAGACAAACAGGTACACAGTCTACCTGATGGTAAGTTGATCCTGTGGCCCATAGACTAACATTTATCATCGTTTAAGAATCAAAATGAAAGTCCGTTTGTTACCACGGGTAGTTACCCATGAGAGCTAGGTTTGAATGCCTCGTTTCGAGTTAAAAAGGATCTCCGGTTCGCTACACTCACCATACGAAACAGCAGCATTATGCTGTTGTTTTACATTGGTATTCATTGAAAGCGTGGTCCTTCCCCGGCCGAGCCATTCGTGTTGCACCCATAATACAACTGCAGAGTGGCTCTACCAAGAACAAAGATGTGTGTATGTGTTCATCAAAGCGCAAAAGTGTCACACGAGTTAAAATTAAATTGGATGAATGACTAATAACTATAGACGATAAATGGGAGCGGACAATGCAAAATACATACAGTATGCGTCAGAAAACGGGATATACTAATTGATAAAGATAAATTTAAAAAAAATCGCTTATTTATTCATTTCGTAAAATCGATTAGTAGCTTTAGACAGTACGTGTTAAAAACCACTTAATTTACCGCTAAATATTAATACGTTTATTTAAGTTAATGTTTCATTATATTTTTAATGAAACAAGAGCGGTACTAATATTTTGCATATAATTTTTATATATTTTAAGAAAATAATATTACGTTTAAAGGTTTAAAGTACGTCCTTTCTTAACTTGATGTGCCAATTGATGTAAGTCAATGCACATCAAGTTAAGAAAGTTTTGAAATACAAAAAATAATAGATACATACTATACAGATTATACAAAAACAAAATATAATAACTTACCAACTTCCGTGCCATGTTGTTAATGTCGTAAATAGCAACTGATTTGTTTTATTATTGTAACAGTTTAGAAACATGTAATTGTTGACTATTTATCTAAGCGAATAACAATGAATGTTTTGCCGCCATTTTCGGTCTGCGTTGGACACGTTTGTCACGCTGTAGTGTTGATTTGGAAATGATTCAAATGAAATGGGTGATGGAAAATTTAATAATGCTCTGCTCCAGAATGGTATTTTACGTTATTTTTAATACATTTGGTTAGGTGTCGTGTTTCTAGAAATAGATTGCAACATACATTTTTGAAAACATTATTATCCATATAAGTTTAATAATATTTATCTCATTATATATTAAATGTTAAGTAATAGCACAATATAAATGCTCTCTATAATATGCGCACAGAACGAAACCATATTTTATTTTTTTGTTTCTGGCTGATGATCGTATTAGTTCTTATGAATGATATTTTTTATAGGTATTTACCTAATTATAATTAGAATGACTCTCAGACCGGTTACTAGGGGCATCTGCGAAGGTGCGATAGTGCGTTTGGTACTCAAAGAAATATTTAGCCATTAGCGGTGCTAGTCAAACGCAAAATATTTCTTTGAGTATTGCGGTTTAAACCAATGGAAGCAATTAAAATAAAATTATCCATGTAGTCGCGGTGTAAAGATATCCACAAACTCATGTCAGGCAGCGTCTTCATAATATTATCAATTAAAAAAAATTAAATACTGCAGTTGCGAATCCGCTTGCCAAGAGTAGCAACTATGGCAAATATCCTTTCTATACTATATATAATATTATAGATATTCAAGAAAAGAGCTTAAACCTTTCTAAAAGGCCGGCAACGCATCTGCAATTCCCCTGGTGTTGCGTTTGTTCATGGGCGGCGGGAGTCACCATCAGGTGAGCCGAATGCTCGTTTGTCCCCTCTTCTATAAAAAAAATTACGGCAATCCATGGGGTGGCCTATGTTCAGCAGTGGACTTTTGTTAGACTATAACGGCAATTTCAAGCAAATAAGAAAGCCAGTCTTCCTTATAAACTTGAGGAGAGATTGATTGTTAGCTGTGTATTGTTACCGTTACTCGTTATTAAAAAAATCTTATTAAAGTCCACTGCTGAACGTTACGTCATATGAGGGGGTACGTCAGTGGACAAAATATAAATATATTATTTTTATTTTTAGTCGTTATTAGGAAGAGCAGCGCCCATATCCTGACTTGTTCCCTCTATCGCCTCTTACGTCACTTACGTGACGATATTTATATGAATATTTTTACAACGCCACGACACGGCCAGTTGAGTAGCAGTAGTTATTACTTAAATTAGAGACTTCAGTAATACAGATCAATGAATTCTCTGGCATCTGGTAGATACGTGGTAGAGCCATGTATCATCTATATTATGGTTGTAGCACGAAAGGATCGGCGCGACCGGGGATAGACCACGCTCTCACAGAAAATCAGCGTAAAATAGTAGCTCAATGCTGCTGCGTTTCGTATGGTGAGTGTAGCGAACCGGAGACCCTTTTTAACAAAAACAAGGCATTCCATTTTAGTTCCTCAGGGTTGACAACGCATCTGCATTCTGATTCTTAATCGAGGATAGACGTAGCTCTCTATGAGCCACAGCATTCACTTACCATCAAATGGACTGTGTGATCGGATACTACCCTCATTCTATAAAAAAAAAAGAAGAAACACGAAACAAAGATTGGGCAAAGTGGCGCGCTTTCGGATAGATAGAGCAGAATAGAGTAATTTTTTATTCGATATAGATTTATAAATAATTCTTATTGTAAGTATTTTATTACTTTACCAAATTAACATACAGTCATATACATTGACATTATATATAATTTGACTAGAACAGAATAGAATAGAATAATTTTTTATTCAATATAGATCACATGTGTAATTCTTATTGAAAGTTATTTTTTACTTTACCACTGGTTCGAAAAAAAACCTCTGTCCTGGGAAGAACTAGCAAGAAACCCAGCGGGACTTTTTTTTTAAAGCAAATTTTACAATAATGGTTGTACAAACTATATAAGTACAAAATTTATTTTAGAAACAGCCCGGAAGCGATCACCTCATTCCCAGGGGTTATTATCAACCATGTATTCATTTATACTATAATAACCCTTTTTATATAGTTTCAACTTAACAAAACATTTAAACTTGGTAATAGAGAGAGCCTGTACACTTTCCGGGACCTTGTTGTAATAGCGTATACATTGCCCCAAGAATGAATTACTGACTCTGTGGAGTCGAGAAACTGGTATCACTAGCTTGTTTGTTCCTAGTGTTTACAGAATGTAAATCACTTTTTTCACTAAAACTACCTTTGTTTTTGTGAACATACATTAAATTTTCGTAAATATACTGAGAGGCCAAAGTAAATATATTTATTTCTTTAAATTTATCTCTAAGAGGCTCTCTCGGTTTTAGGTTGTAAATAGCTCTAATGGCCCTCTTCTGTAAAAAAAAATAGTTTCTGAATCAGCCGCATATCCCCATAGCAAAATCCCATAAGACATTATGCTATGGAAATAACTGAAATAAACTAATCTAGCTGTCTCGACACTAGTGAGCCCCTAATCTTTTTTACAGCATAGGCTGCAGAACTTAGTCTGCTTGCTAGTTTCGATATATGGGGGCCCCACTGACTTTTTTCAGTTAATTCAAACCGAAAAAATTGAGTAATGATTACTGCACGAAAATGTTGTATGTAGTAGTTCTTGTAATATTATCTATTCTGTGGTAGTAGTACGTGACATTTTGTTTTAGAAATAGAGAAATGTCTTACGCATGAATATTTGTTAAATAAAATGAATGCAGTCAATCATCACGAACCACGTATTTCAAAGTTCCCTATAATGGAACTATAATATATTTCTGGTCTTGAAATCTAATTAAATTTCATAGTACGCGAGCATGCTGGGAACGATCCTCATCGGTACCAAAAAACTTGTTAATTGCAAATTTAAGTACTGATTTACCACGTAAACGGTGGTGAAGGAAAACATCGTAAGGAAAACATCTTTTTTATATAAGGGTGAAAAACTAGCAAACGGTTCACCTGATGGTGAGTGGATGCTTTGACCCATAGATATATAATATAATATAAATCTATCCTCAATTAAGAATCAAAATGCAGATACATTTTCACCCCTGAGGACTTAGATGGAATGCCTCATTTTCAGTAAAAATGTTCTCCGGTTCTCTACCATACGAAATACTGCAGCATTAAGCTGCTGTTTTACGCTGGTATTCTGTGAGAGCGGATTCGTTCCCCAGTCGAGTAATTTTGAAATAAACGGCCAAATTTGCAGGGAGGGTTATAAGTAACATAGACAAATGGTGAAAAAAAAATAATTAAGAAAAATCTCAAACATTCTGTCCTTTTTATCTTTTAAATTCAAAATGCATGGCAATGCATTATTTTAACTGATTTTACTGCACACGCACATATTAGTAAGGGTCGATCGGTAGGCAAAAACGTTGTTGCCTATAAATCACATTAAATTTGGGATAGTTTCAAATAAAAGTAGAAGCCTTGTTTACTCGTATTTTGAAAAACTATTTGAAATTAAGTTTAAAATTTGGCTACTCTTTAAAAATAACACTGTATAGCTGCCACTGTATACCACTGTATAAATTGTAAACTTATCGAGCTCTACTTGTTCATTGCTTCAGTGCCTTGTCAAAAACAAGAGCAGCCCTTCAATCTAGAGTAATTTGAAAAAGGGCAAACCAATATAATTTAACAGCTAGCGTATCTGTATAACTGCTCACTTCACTAAGTTGTATGGTAATTCCTTTATTGGAGGATTTAACTTCTCCTATAATTCATTGACTGGTTCTGATAGAGAATGCCTAATGGCATAATTCTTATGTAATAGGGAATGCAATAAAAAATAAATAAAGAAATCTATCAATTGTAAAGATTTTATCACCATTTTACCACGAACGATATAAAACAGTTCGATTGCATAAATCATTTAAGAAATCAATTAACGATTGCGTTAACGTTTTGGTATATCATCTCATAACGTCCTGGTATCCTGGTAAAAAGGCGTTAGGTATATTATATTAGTTGTTTTGACGGATGGTGTTTTTTTATAGGATAAGGGTGACAAACGAGCACACAGTCCACCTGATGGTAAGTGGTTGCTGTGGCTCATAGACATCTACATCTATCTTCGATTACAAACCAAAATGCAGATGCGTTGTCACCCGTGAGGACTAATATGGAATGCCTCTTTTCCAGTAAAAAGGGTCTCCGGTTCTCTACACTCACTGTACGAAACACAGCAGCGTTAAGCTGCTATTTTACGCTGGTATTCTGTGAGAGCGTGGTCCTTCCTTGGTCGAGCCGACCCATTCGTGCTACAACTATAATATAGCTGCAGCATGGCTCTACCACGTTTGTTTATCTTTTTGAAAATAACATAAACTCTCAATCCGTCATCCGGAAGAGTATGCAGAGACTACGGACTTATATTAGGCACGATGCTCATATACCTCTCTCGCTTCTTTCGCCTTCATCGGATCGGTGGTTAAAGGTTATCTTAATTTGACCCATATTTATTATATCACCAATGACGTCGATAAAGGTCGGTCTAGGGCGTTACTTGCTGACTCTACCACTCACTTCTACAACATAAACTTACTTTGTCACTCTTTCTTCATTCATTATTGCTAGGTATCAAAACTATTGAAGCCTTCCTTTCTTAATCATGGTCACACACAATGTCTCACCGTCATTCATAGTTACTCCTAACATACCTATTGACTGATATTAATTTTCCTCACATGCTCTTTCGGCTACACAACTTCCGCGATAAGAACTAACACAGCATTTTATATTGCAATATGTGCATTTTGTGACAATAAAAAAAATTTGACTATTCACAGTTTTTAGATATTTTCCATGAAATGCACCGTGATTGCTAACTTATTTCTTTTTCATAAATAATGAGGAAAAACTGTTAAAACAAAGGGCGTTTTGATCTGTTTCTATCGATAATAATTGTTACTTTATAAAGACCAGTTTCAATGAAACACCTTGATAGCGGGATAGCTTTCGTTGACTCTATAATCTTTAAATAAATATTTTAAAGAAAAAAAGGTTGTTTTTCAAAGTAAGGATAAAGATAGTCAAGATCTCTGTGTGAATGAGCAATTTAATGATATGATTAGATTTCATTTCATTATGGTCAATCCGTATATAGTCCAAATCTGCAGCAGACTTTGCTTCGCGGCATATTATGTTATAAAAAGATAAGATCTCATCTGTAGATTAATTTGATTTTGTAATTTCTATAGTATTTTATTGTATGGAAATTTGTGATGGGAAAACGCGACTGATACAAAAAAAAAATTATTTTGAATAACTGAAGGAGTATCTCAGAGAAAATTTAAGGAAATAAAATATAACAATGTTAACCTCACATGCGCATAGAAACAAATACAAGACACATTCTGCAATCATAATAGCAAAAAATACAAACCAGTTTCTCGACTGAACTAGTTCGTTATTTATTCATGGCCAATGTACGCTTTTAAAAAGAAGTCCCAAAAATATACAGTCTGTCTATCTATATTTTTTTATATACAACTATATAAGTCTATATAGACTGGATGTTCTTGGTGACATTCTATGGTTAGGCCGTGGACTTGCGATGGGCTGTAATGATGATAATGATGATGTTGTATAAAGATAGTTACTATAATAATTTATTTGAATGGAATTTTCGCTTCTAAGCCGCTTCTAAAATAATTTTTAAATTTAGTTGTAAAACTTTCTTTATTGTGAAGGTTTAGGTTATTATGCCGGGCAATACTAAAAATATGGTTGTATATTGCAAAGTATTACCGATATTGCTGAAAATATTGCTGGCAACACTATTGCACCCATATATCGACAATAGGAGTTTTGGCGGGAACTTGACCGGCGTCGGTTTGCTGCTCCTGTATTATTGTTTAAATAATGGTTTGAAGTGGACTTTGATATGTAAAACTGGTGCGATTTTGTGTATTAAGTGTCTGCGCATGTGAACTATTAGTGGAAACTGTGAAACAAGTGCTCTGATGGTGATGGATTCTCAAGATAAGCTGTTTGTCTACATAGGCGCCTTTAGATACCATCGCCAACTGTCAGCTGTCTGCTGGCTCAAGTTGCCGTCAAAATCTCCCAAGGGCTGCACAATGTGACGCATCAACATATTGTGAAGCAGTGAACTATGAAGGATAATTATACATTTGGGGAAATTATAATAAACCGAATAAAAATACTTAAGACTTGGCCTAAAGGTCTAGATACCAGGCCATAAACTCCAAAAAAAAAATATATCGACAATATATTGAAGTGAAAACAAGTGAAAATGTAGCGCATAGATTATTATATATATCATGGGTCCGTTATAACATAGACTTAGAGTATAGTGCCGACCTGTCATTCAAAATCGGTTACAGAGTCATGAGATTTGGTATCCTTTTCTATTTTGCATTTTTTGCCATAAGGAATTTTCTTCTCCTTTGCACACTAAGTCCGTCTATACGGCAGTATATTCTATGTATATGGTTATAAGTGTGAGTGCAACTGGTACAACCAAAAAGAACATAATCACTAGGTGTAACGAAATATAAAACATCATGAATGTCAACTTCAAATTAGTCAAATTAAATCAAGTGTCAAATTTATAAGAATCATGATATGGGCTTGCAAAATTTAAAATGTTTCAACGTCTATTTATAACAATCCTTTGTGTTTTAAACATTCAACACAGACAACGATGTACACTTAATAGCCGAATCCATTTTGGTGAACCATTGCCAGTAATAATTAGAAACGGAAATCTTTTGGAACCTACTGATGGAGACGGTAATGTGGTGTTAGAGCAAGGAGACAGCATTATTCTTAGTTGCCTCGATGCCGGTGCAATTTATCATAGGAATACTTTGCAGCATATAAATACTGCGTCTATAATATGTGTCAATGACGATATCTTTGAAAATGTAGAATGGTTGAACGCTCCTTCCAGATTTACTGAGTTCAAATGCAACGTTCCACCACCTTATGTTAGCGAACGCACAAATCGCACTTGCTTTGCTAGAAATACGATTTATGAAGTTGGTTACAAAATTGAAAACGTTTTTTATCCTGTATATGAATCTTGTTTTAATGAAATTGATTTAAACGCTATATATTCAATGTATACCCAGAAACCTTATAACGCTCTTTACCAAACTAGAGTCGACCGACCATTTTTTATTGATAACAATGTATATGGTTATGTTCCTGTTAATTCACTATTTTCCCCTCCTGGACAAAAAGGAGCAGTGGCTCGTCTTGTAGGAGTGAAGGTGGATGACTATATTAATAAAACTGAATTTTTATCAAGGGGACATTTGGCAGCTAAAACGGATTTTGTATTCGCGTTCGGGGAACGTGCCACGTTTCATTACGTAAACTGCGCGCCCCAATGGGTAGGATTTAACGGCGGCAATTGGAATACACTCGAAGTAGATCTACGGAATCATATACATAACGCCGGTTATGACACTATTATTTACACTGGAACTTTTGGAGTGTCGCAATTAATTAATCAATATGGAGCGATCGTCGATATATATCTTTATTCGGATGTTAACAATAATCCAGTGGTTCCTGTGCCGAAATATTTCTATAAAGTTGTTTATGAGCCGAAAACAAAGCGCGGTATAGCTTTTGTGGGTATCAATAATCCACATTACACACCAGCGGAAGCACGAGCTCTGTTTTTCTGTCATGATATATGTCGAGAGAACAATAACTTTGGTTGGCTCTCATGGCATCCTGACACATCCTCCGAAGGGTATGCATTTTGTTGTACAGTAAACGATTTTCGTGATACTGTATCACATTTACCAGATTTTGAAGTGACTGGTCTTTTAACTTGATCTATATAATATCTAAAAATAATGTTTCTTTTTTATTTTTATTTTAAATTCGTATCACACCAATTTTTTAAGCTTAAGCTTATTTAAATATTTTACGATCGTCTAGGATCTACAATCGCTACGGTTCAAAAAACTAGATTATTACAATGTTTGAAATCCTGGGTTACTTTTTCTTATCTATAAGTGTAATGTATCAATTTTCAATTTTGAATTATGACAATTATAAAATAATATAGGAAATCCTTTCAGTGTTTTATTTTAAATTTATTTTATACATCTTTGAATACAAAGATGTATAAAATAAATTTGAAAAATGTGCTTTTTATAAAACTGAAGTGACAAAAACTTACAAGCCACCTGATAGTGCGTTGTGTGTGTGTGTGTGGCGGTGTGGTGGCCACAGCAGGCTATGGACACCTGCAGCTAACTCCAAACAAAGAAAGCTACAGGTACGATGTCCCCCTGAGATTTAAAATGGAATATCTCACAGCCTGTATATTTTTTTATAGGATAGGGTGACAAACGAGTACCCAGTCTACGTGATGGTAAGTGGTTAACGTGACCCATAGACATCTACATCTATCCTCAATAAAGAATCAAAATGCAGATGCGTTGTCGCCCGTGAGGACTGAGTTGGAATGCATCTTTTGCTCTTTTCTATTAAAAGGGCCTCCTGTTCTCTACACTTAAGAGTTAGCTTAACACTGCTATGTTTCGTATGGTGATACGAAACACAGAAGTGTTAAGCTGTTATTTCGAATACGTTAAATCACGTACGAAAACAATGATTTTTTTTAGGGAAAAGGTTCATGCAAAATTTTTTACAACTTTCGAAGAGGGCTGATACGTCTTGAATGTTTCAAGGAGCTGACTATAGAAGCCTTACAACCCTCGAACACTGGTATTTTTAACCCCCGGCGAAAACAGATGGGTGTTATAAGTTAGTAGTGTGTATCTGTGTGTCTGTCTGTGGTAGCATTGCTCCTGAACGTACGAACCGATTTTGATTAAGGTTTTTTCGATTGAAAGGTGTCTTGATCCAGAGTATTCGTGAGTTTCAAGAAAATCTATTCAGCCGTTTGAAGATCAACATCTGTCTTTGTTTCGGGGATTTTAAATTTTTTTTTAAATCCCCGGGTATTCCCTTTGTTCGCGCCAAACGCTGTTGTCGGAATCGACGTCTAGGGGGCGCGCGGCTCGGCGCCATATCGGTTTGACAGTTGGATGTGTCGAGCGCGCGCGAGTGCAAAGGAGTCGTCTGCCAGCTGTGCTTGGGACCGCACGCTGTCATTTTTGTCGGGAACTCGGAATAATTAGGCGCGGCCAGTAAATATACGGTCTAGGATTTGTGACGCGCATTCTTTGCTGGAGAGCTTCCCAGGGACTCATTGTATATGACTCAGAATCTGCATAAGTGCACTCGGCAATATTAGCTAGTGCGGCCTTTGATATTCTAGAAATAACTGTTGCTACGTGAAACGGTAGTGACCTTTGATCCGGACACTCCGTGTTTTTTTTGTGCGTTAACCTTATAACAAACGAGAGTTAGTGGCTTCTGTAAGTTAGTTAATCGTACGATGGACTGTCATCGTGACGAACGAAGAAGTAGTCCGGCGCCGAAGCAGTCTGAAGCGGTGCAGCATTTTGGAGCAGCCTGAAACTCGGCCGCTGCTGGTCGCCTATGCTTGACAAGGCCCCACACATTCACACCCCACTGTACACTACTCGCCATCCACTATTACACACACTCACGGCCTGCCCAAGCCTTGGTGCGAAGTTAGCTTCGGATAATGGTAAGTACTATGTGTTTCTAGCTTCCTCCCATATTGTTTATTGTAATTAGGACATTCCACGTGGCCATATTCTGGCCCCGTCCCTCTGCTGCTCGTTGATGGGATTACTCATGGGCCCTAATCCCGTCATCCTTGATTGGGGCAGCTAGGGGCGTGTACACCCTTAGAGACAAATCTCGTGAAGTCGTTCGAAAACCGCCTTTTATAATGTCGTTGCTGTGAGACAAGTTATCGTTGAATACCGTCATGTAGTGTGATTGAAGTATCATTAGGAATTTACGGAACAACAATTGAAAAATCCAGTATGAAGAACTTTTTTCATCAGATTTAATAGATCAAAAATCTTCACAAAAAAACACCAATTACCAAGGATGGTTTGTGAGATTAAAGTTAAATTATTTTACTATTGAAATTTAAAAAAAAAACACCCTAATATCAATAGATAAGATGGCCGAGTGCTATATATGCTAGGGATCAAATTTCCTATAAATAATAAAGTATCCTAACCCAAGCATACTGAAAAAAATGGCAAAGAATTAATTCTTATTTCGGCTATAACTCCGCTACCTTCGAAGGTTCTTACACAGTCTTTACTTCCCGCATCCCACTTGTTAAGAAATAATAATAGTGACATATTATAATAATCTATTACAGTAACTTATAACATTAAAAAAAAGAACACAACTCAGCTGGGCCGCTATCGGGAAATTGCGACAAATCTTCTTGTTCGATATACCTCTGAACCTTAAAAGCCTACAATTACTGAAATGTGGTCCTTTACTGCTGACCGTACGAAGAATCCGTACCGTATGAATCATCAGCTGTAGCGATGGAGTGGGCTATACTCGGGATTACTCTGTGTGATAAAATTCATAACGAGGATAAGCTCAGAAGAACAATATTAATTTATAAAGCTCAACGGATTAGTAAGCTGAAGTGACAATATGCCGGCCATTTAGCTCGAAGAACCGAAAATCAAAAGAAAAGAAAGGTTCTCGAGAAGCAGCTCAGCCCCAGCCCTTGTTAGATGGAGTAACCCTGATAAAACATACAGGTTATCGACGGATGCAGGTGATTTAGGTCCGTACTCTGTAGCATCTGTATCTTTGGAGGAGGCCTATGTTCAGCAGTGGACTTGTTGTTGTGATATATTTTACGTCTTCTCCTTCTTCATCGTCCCATAAAATTCCACTTCTAGACATCAGCTTCTATTACTGACGGATTGACGATCGCAGTAACATACGTCTCGCAACTTTGACGTTGCTGTCCGTCATCGGTGTGGGTATTACCTATATGTTTGTCGTAAACGAGATGATTATGTACCGCCATCGATTCGATCGATTGAAGCCATAAGATTTTGCTGGCTTTTATCATAATCGTCTCTTACGACACTTTAAAGAAATGAGTTCACTCAAACACCAGACGACGTCAGTGGCCTTTATGAATATTATATATATATATATATATATATAGGAAAACTTGCTGAACATAGGCCACCTCTTAGATTGTCTCATAAGGGAAGATATTTGCCGAAGTTGCCACGTTTGGTAGGTGGTTGGCAACCGCAGTTTACTTTTCTAGTTGTTACAAACCACTGTACCACACAAGGGTACAGTTCTGTGATCAATAATCTAAGGATCCGATACGGAACCGAGAATCCTACTCTCTCCAAAATGTGACTGTACGTATGTGACTCGTATAATCTCGATAAAGAATAAGTAGACGACTGAGCTATGCGAGAAAAATAAATTATAGTTTTCTCTGGGATGCCGTCTATGTAGATAAACTTGAAAAAAAAAAACATTCGAGCCGTGTCCGAAAAACCAACAATATATATGTAACGGACAAAATTAATATAACTGATGTAACAGTAGGGACGTATATCAAGTCTTTGTAATTTCTTTGTCATGATTCCGGGTGAACGCCCTCCTTGTACGTAATGTTGTTATCAACTTAGAGAATGAATGTAGCACCGTGACCCCAGGGGCAGGATAGAGTGATGCATCACACAATAATTAATTGTACTTAATGATGCATAATAACATAAGAAAAGTTTGTTTCCTTATTTCTATAATGACAAAGGAAAACATAAAAAACAAAGTACGCTGCATGTGAACCCTGTTAGTGAATTTATGTTATTCCGGCGGTCGGTCGATAGCGGAATATACATTCGAAAATGCCGATTAAAAATTTTAAGCTGATGATGGGGAGAAGCTATAGCATTAAGTTTAGATGTGTTATATCTACCTACTGTGTATTGTCAGGGCGAGTATTATCGGCAGCATGTATAGGTCAACTCGACTAGGGAAGGACACAGTTCACAAGGAATACCACTGTAAAACAATATCTTGTTGCTTCTGCGTTTCGTATGCTGTGTGGCGAGAATCAAACACGCTGGTAACTAGGAATTTCATCCGAGTCTTCAGGGTTACAAAGTATTTCCATTATGAGTCTTCATCAAGGATAGATGGTGTACGTGCCTGTGGAACACAGGATTCCCAACATCACTTAATTTGTGTGTACGTTTGTCACCCTTATTCCTACACAAGTGGTAAAATTAAAAATGTTGTACAATCGACTTCATGATAAATATAATTGAAAATTAAAAAATTTATACAACCGACTTCAATATGTACTATTAAGGATAACTCAAAAACTAATGGTCAGACCTTGATCAAAAATTATATGGGACCACATGAGAAGCACCAGCTTTCAAATAAAAAAATCATCGAAATCGGTTCAGGTACAAAAAATTTATGAGGTAACACACATTAAAAAACATACAGTCGAATTGGGTCCATAGAAAATAAGAACATCATTATTGTAGTCAAAGTGAATTAAATACACATTATTAAGAATAACTCAAAACTACTGGCCAGCTCTTGATCAAATTTATATGGGACCACATGAGAAGCACTAGCTTTCAAATATAAATCATTAAAATCGGTTCACCTAGAAAAAGTTCTGAGGTAACAAATAAAAAAAATACAATCGAACTGAGGACCAGCGAAACGAATATTTTGAAGTCGATTGAAAAAGGTGGTGATCGCGCCAACAACACAGGCTATCACTTGTCTTATACTTTCTAAACAATCATTCGTGTGACTATGGTTATAGCTGAAATTTAAACCCAAGAATTACTATTGAAATACCTACTATTCAGCCACACTATTTTGACAATTTATATTAACATTACTATATAATTTAAAGTTACAATGATAAATATAAACTAACGAGTTATTAATTAAATTAAAGTTATTCGTCATATGATTTAATTGTCATTAATATAATCTAATGCTAACTGCACACATAACCAATGATTCAATTTCTTCTAATCGCATTTAAAATTTTATTCAAATGTTATTTTCTTAATAACTCGTTGGTGAATTATTAGTATTGCACATTACTAATACTCGTAGATGCATAAATGGACCTCCATTACGGTTTGTCAACTTGTTTCAACACAAGGACATCATTTTGTTATTATTTATTCTACATTACACTTGTACATGTAAACATACTCATAAATCAAATATGAAACCACACTTGGTAAGTAAAATTGGTAAATGAAATTTCTCAAATTCATTTATTTATTTTTAAATACAGTGAGTTAGGTGTTAATCAATAATGTGACTAATGTATCACTAAGAAAATATTCCTATTGAGGATTTACGTACGTAGAAGCAATAAAAATAATTTTAATGCACATCTTCAGACAATTTTAATTCAGAAGATAGATTTGAGAGTTTTTAATTAAATCTTTGTTGCTTATGATGATGTGTTGAGTAACACTACATTCATTTTGTTTCCAATTATGATGATGAAATGATTTTAATAAATGTTATTGTTTTTTTTATAATACGAGTAATTTTGCTTCTTCATTCTTACTATTTACAAAAGGATTTGTTAATTGCAGGTATTGCTTATTATTTTAATAAGTACGATAGTTATGACTGTAAATGCTACAAAAGATCTCCGCATTAATAAATTTAAAGTAAAAAGGGTAACTTTACCAGTAAAATACAAGACATTCATTTCAAATGCAAAACGAATATCTGAGATAATTTCAAATATTGACAAAAATATTGTCACCAATACATCTAAAAGTTGGCGGATTATGTCGAAACTCACGTTAACAAGTGGAATTAGAAAAGAAATGCGAAAAAATGAAAATAAAATACCTACATTCAATAAATTACAATATTCAATAAATAAAGAATTAAAAAGAAATAAACATTACCAAGAAAATAAAGTTAATATTAGCAATAAATATATGAACAATAATGATATTAGTAAAAGTGAAGAAATCAATACTGAAGAATCATTTCTGAAAACGAAAACTCGTAAACTAAAAATTATAACACCTAAAAATGAGGAAACTCATGTTAAGAGTCCACAATCGAAAAGAATATCTTTATTATATTCAAAACACAGTCGACTAAAATATCTTGCAAATACAATAGATAACATTTCTGACTTCGGTGAAAGTGATTATCTCAAAGAATTTATTGTTGTTTATATTCCACTAACGAATTTAGAACATGTTGATAAAAACAGTAATAGTGGAAGAAAAAATGCTGTAAATGATATTCGACTTAGGAGGTAAAGGATAAGATTCTTCTTATTGGTAGGGTTGTACATGGTAGAGCCACACTGCAGCTATAATGTTATGGTTGTAACACGAATGGGTCGGTACGCCCGGGGTAGGACCACGCTCTCACAGAAGACCAGAGTAAAATAGCAGCTTAACACTGCTGTATTTCGTATGGTGAGTGTAGATAACCGGATACCCTTTTTACTGCAAACAAGGCATTCCATCATAGTCCGTAGGAGTGACAATGTATCTGCATTTTGATTCTTAATCAAGGATAAATGTAGATGTCTATTGGCTAAAGTATCCACTTACCATCACTGTGTGCTCGTTTGTCACCCTATACTATATAAAAAATAATTTTCTTCATTAGCCAATAAAAGTCCATAGCTGGGCATGGTTCTCTCGCGTTGTAGGAATGATTTGTTTTGATCGTCACGCTTGGCAAACGAATTGATGATCCCAGTACCAAACATCTTTGACGCTGCGCCCAATCACCGGTCTGGATAATATACGTCATCCATCCATCCAACCATTCATTACAACCTGTAAAAGTCCTCTACCGAACATGGGCCTCACCAATATAATGCCTCATAGGGAAAATTTTACCATAGTAGCCACGTTTAGGAAGCGGGTTAGCAGTTTTTTTTATAGGATAAGGGTGACAAACGAGCATACAGTCCACCTGATGGTAAGTGGTTGCTGCGGCTCATAGACATCTACATCTATCCTCTATTACAAATCAAAATGTAGATGCGTTGTCACCCGTGAGGTCTAAGATGGAATGCCTCATTTCCAGTAAAAAGGGCCTCCGGCCACCTGCACTCACCAAGCGAAACGCAGAGGTAAACCGCTACTTCACGCTGGTTTTCTGTGAGGTCGTGGTACCACCTCGGTTCGAGCCGGCCCATCCGTGCGACAGCAAAAGCTACCGCGTGGCTCTACCACTGTTAGTTTTTATTATTTCGAGTTGTTATCAGGAAGGTGTTGCTGCCCATCTCTTGTTTCAGTGTCCCTCTGTCTTCTTTTGTCACCCACGTGACGATATGGAGTAGTGGATAGTTTATAGCTACTACACTATTATTTCCATCCCTTTTCTATTTACAGAATAGAATAGAATAGAATAATTTTTTATTCAATATACATTACATGTGTAATTCTTATTGAAAGTAATTTTTTTACTTTACCATTGGTTCGAAAATAACCACTTGGACTTTTTTTCGAACCAGTGGTAAAGTAACCAGCGGGACTTGTTTTTTTAAAATAAATTTTACAATATAAATGATTACGAACTATTTACAAAATTTATTTTAGAAACTGCTTGGAAGCGACCACCTCATTCCCAGGGGTTATTATCAACCATGTATTCGTTTATACTATGATAACCCTTTTTCTCGGATGAAGTAAAAAAAAGGTAGATATTGCGTGGCCTTTGTTATTGGTGAAGCCAAAAAAACTCCGCTCGTTTAAGTAAACACACGCGTTCACGCACATACATGCATCAAACTACGCTCATTTTCGTAGGTACCTCTCGGGGCGTCGTGCCGTAAATTTGCCTACAAAATGCCGCCATTTGTAATTAAATGGTGCAAAAACAATACTAAAGTGAACAAAAAGTCTGAAGGAATATCGTTTCACACATAAGCACTCATTTAAATATATTTTATTTTGTCATTCCAACACAATTTTAAAGGTTATTTGAAGCTACCACGTAAGTTACGTGGTAGAGCTGCGCTGCACTTACGTGGTAGAGCCACGCTGCAGCTATATTTATTAGTAGTATAGTTGTAGCACGGATGGGTCGGCTCGACCGGGGAAGGACCACGCTCTCACAGAATACCAGCGTCAAATAGCAGTTTAACGCTGCTGTGTTTCGTATGGTGAGTGTAGAGAACCGGAGACCCTTTTTACTGGAAAAGAGGCATTCTATCTTATTCCTCACGAGTGACGACGCATCTGCGTTTTGATTCGCAAACGAAGATAAATGTAGATGTCCATGGGCCACAGCATCCACTTACCATCAGGAGGACTGAGTGCTCGTTTGTCACTCGATCCTATAAAAAAAGCACAATTCCGAGATTACGTAACGGGAGAATGTTGCCAGTTTTTCTTATTTCTAATTGTCCAAGATTTGGGTAGTTAATTTTAGGTTAAGTTATAGAAGTATATGTAGTCAACATATTTTTTTAGTTACGTATTATGTAACATCAAATTCAAGTCAAGGTAAATATTAATTTTTTTAACTGGCTGATGTTTTTTTTTAAATTATTGAGTACTTAGAATTATTTTATTACCAAAAACTATTTATGATTTTAGGCTTCCAACGAATATTTTAATAAGAGATGAATGGGTAGCTGCTATAAGACTAAACCGAAATGAACTACAATGGTAGCCATCCTCATCTAGTGTTGTTTGTTCAGACCATTTTGATAAGACTGACTTGAACGACACAAAACGTGGACTTCGCCGAGTTCCTAGAACAGGATATAGAAAAAAGGTAATTTTAACCGACTTCAAATAAATAAGGGTTCTTTTTTCTTCTTGTATATGTTATATAATAATTATGTGTGTTTGCGATTTTCGCAGTAAACAGTATATCTTTCGTTATTAACTACTTGTTTATAATTATGTATTTAGATTCTTCGACAGTTTTATTTCTATTGCAGAAACTATTTCCGCCTTCCAATGCAATCAATAAAGAGTCAGACGCCTCAAAAACAGGAACTCGACCCTCAAGGAAATTATCAATTACTTAAAAACTCAAAATTTCATTGACACAGATTTATATAATTGATTAAGTGAAAACATGGCGATAGTAGATTTATTTTTAGTATTAAGCAATTTTTTTATAATAAACATGTTTTACATCACATATGTTGTATTTTTTTCTCGATGCTTACATGCTCATTGGACGATCTATCAAGAAGACTTTTAAATGATCTATAGACGCCTCCTACGTCCATCATCTGTTTTTAAATTATCAAATTGTTGAAATTTATTAAAACAGACAGATTTACATTCGCATTCGCATCGCATATTACTCTTATATTTATAGTATCGTATCTCAATTTTCAGGGACTTTTTAAAAAAAAGTGGCAACACTACTCTGACTCACACAAAGTTACGTGCGATATCTACCTTTTTTTACTTCATCTGAGCCCTTTTTATACAGTTTCAGCGTAACAAAACATTATTTAAACTTGGTAATAGAGAGAGCCTGTACACTTTCCGGAACCTTGTTGTAATAGCGTATACATTACCCCAAGAATGAATTACTGACTCTGTGGAGTCGAGAAATATTATAGCTACATATCTTTATAAAGAAATGAATATACAGAATGTCCCTAAACTCAACATCAAGCGGGTACGGGCGATAATCTAAGTTGTACCAGTTCTAGCAAAAAAAAATCCATGTTACATGGTTAAGTGATAATAGGTATATTTTTAAAAATGTTGAAAATCACATATTAGATACTGTGATCACAAATTTGAACATTTTTCAGTTTTTTTTTAATGCAAGCCTAAATAACTATGCTATTGATTTCAGTCACAAATCCAATAATTAATATCGTGAGTTTAGTACAAAAAAATAAAGTTTAATTAACTCATGGTTAATAACGTTTCAATACATAAATATGACGGCTTGTCTTTAAAAAAAAGTACTATTCCACCATAAGCAAGGTGTTTTAAAAAATGGCCCATTTAATTAAGAATTCAAAATGGCGCAACATTGAGTTTTATGTACTACGTACTAGAGAAGCCATTCCGAACATTGACTATGTTCAACTGAACTGTAGTGCAATCTATACAAACTAAATATTGCGTAAATTGAAGATTTGTGAATTCCATAAGATAATTATTATTACATTTTATTTAGAAATATGTTTGTTTAGATTAAATTAAGATATTTTATATTAAATTCTTATATTTATTTTATATTAATATCTTATTTTACATTAAAATAAAGTCTTCGCGCATGCGCGACTACTACTCCCGCGCATGCGCGAAGACATAGAGTAGGACACAATTTTTGTTTGGAATGGCTTCTCTAGTACGTAGTACATATAACTCAATGTGGCGCAACACTTGCTACTTATCTTTCCATAAAAAATATCTCGATTATCAACAATTTAGAACTTAAAAACTCGAACAACAGAATATCAAAGTATGATAATGATGCCCTATTATCGTATTATGGCAAAAGTTAACAATAACGATACACTAGGAAATATTCTAATACATTTATTTTTTCTTAAAAGTAAATTAAATATTCAAATTGTTTGCCTTCGGCGCGAATACAGGCTCTGCATCGCCTCAGAAAGATCTTTTCACTAATCGTGCGTATCTCCTTGAGTTAATTTCCTCTGCTGTTTCAGCTAATTTGTGGCGTAGTTCGGCTAGATTTTGTATTGGTTTCTAGTACAATTTTTCTTTTATGCAGCCCCAGTAAAAGAACGAGGAGGCCATAAAATTGTGCCAAGGCGTCCAGTCCACCTACCGGAATATTCTGTGTTTAGATGATCCTGTACTGGACGAGCATAATGCGCTGGGCAACCATCTTGTTGAAACTACATATCCCGGTAGATGTTTATTGGTACGTCTTCTAATAAATTCGGCAAATGATTTTGTAAAAAATTAACGTAGTTCTCGCAATTTATCGTCAAATATTTCGAAATCTCGTCGTTTTAACAAATCCTCACTGCAGTAGACCTTTAGAAACGAAACTCCCAGGAAGTTGATTATTATTACTTTATTTATTTGTAATATAATATTTATTATTTTACTTAGAGTTATAACTTAATCTCATAAAATATTATACACTTGAGTAAAAAAACACATAATAGAAGTACCTATGAAAATTGTAACAATTGTCCATGTCATCTGCGTATGTCATAATTTTTACACTATGTACTATGAACTTATAACGTTACTTTTATCGCGCCGATAACGCTGTGCTATGATTTTAAAAATTCCAATGGGTATTTTTACTTATCGTTCAGTAAACAAAAATAACTTTTTCCGACAATATTAAACTAAAAGTATATTTGTTAACAAAAAGAAATAGAAATTGGAAATTGGAGATATTTTTTTGAATTTGGTTTAGCTGGAAAATTTAAAAAATTTGTGTGCTTATATCAACTGTAGATTTCTTTTTTAATAAACAGGTACCTATTTAATTCGAATTAACAAAAACATCTTATTACCAAATGTACGTAATACCTACCTGCGCATGTCAATAATTACATTTCTAGTAAGTATTAAGATTATTTGTCTAAAATGTGTAGAAATACTTGGGTATTCTCCATTATTAACGTGGAGAAATTGAATTTTTAACAAAAATACAAAATGTTAACTACGAACCCAAAATCTTTTGCGCTTTAGGTCAATTTGCTTCCTCTTTTTAATCGATTGCACCAAATAACAACTTCACCTATATTGGAAGTGGAAAGAGTAAGCCTGTATACAATTCCAAAATTCAGAATCACAGACCACGTTTTGAAAGTTACATTTATCTTAATATATTTTTTGCAATTGGAATAAAATTTTAAATTTTGATCGGTATTTAAACTTATTGTCAGTCATTTTAGCCAACAGAACAGAACAATGAAGAAACTTCCTTCAATGATTGTGGATACATTATTGCAGAGCAGAAGCTCTCGTAATAATGATATACTTTAGGTTGGACTTTTCAATGTCAGTCGTCTCAGAACCTCGTTCATCAATCAGCAGAGTGCAGCCTGTACAAGTGAAGTTGAGATTTAGGAACAACATAGCACATCTTCTTCCACATCCCTTTAAACTATATGAAAAAACTACAACAACTAGATTTAATTATTTATTTTAACAATGTATTAAATTTACAGAGGTGTAATCGAAGAAGAAATCTCTGCAACAACTTCTTCAGGGTTTAAGTATACTGCTGCGGAATCGAGTTTGGTTGATCGTTTAGCTTTTAAAAACATAAACGTATAGAACCACGAATCAGCAAAAGGTTTTAAAATGTTTGTATTGAACTAAGAATCCATATTAATAGTGGTATATTTTTAGAATTTTTTTTCTAAATCTTTAAAATGAATGTTAAGACAATTTTTTAATCATTTTTTTTAATGTATTCATTTAAGGAAATTACTAGCTTTGCTTATATAAAAAAAAGAAAAATATACGAGTATTAATTGTATTTTCGTTGCTTCGATCTGTATAAATCAACTGATCGAATGATTAAATAGTTAAATACATTAGATAAGATGGAAAATAAAATAATACAACAATTTAGATAAAGTTATTTATTATGTTCTCTACAAAAACTTACATTTACACGCAACTATAATGTACACCTTATCCTAGGTAGAAGTGATGGCAAAAAATTCTCCACGTTCGTTACACAAAAGCTATCTATCTCCAACTATCACACCAGTAAGATTGAAACATATAAATTAATTGTATCCTAAAGGCAAGGAATTGAGAACATGATCACGAATGGAATTAAGTTTGGTGCTTCAATACAATAAAAATGGTGGACGATGCTACAAATAAAAGTATTTTCAACTTTAATAACTTGAAACTTATTTAACTTCTGTTAATCTCGTGTAACTTCTTTTGACTTAGGACCTTGATTTGTACCAAAAAAGTTATTTGGTTCGGTTAAGACCTTTAAATCTATGCTGATATTAAACGTATATGTAAAAGTTTCTGAAGATGCTTGTTACACATTAACGGCCAAATGGATTTGGATCAAATCTGGCAGCTGGTATACCAATAGAGAGAGAATATTCTGGGAGCATATTGGGGATGACAAAATTTTCCGAACAAAAATTAAAAAAGACGAAGACGTATCTGATTCCACGCAGGCGAAGTAGCACGCAGTAGCTTGTTATGAGTTGTATATAAAGTACTCTTTGAAACTTAGTTATACATAAATATTAAATTTATGATAATTCTGAAAAGGTTGCTTTGAGTTGCTAATAGAGTAACAAATCGGCGGGAATAACATAATTTGTATAAATGATTTGAAAAATTGTGGTTAAAATGTAATAAATAATTAGTAATTATGTTTTCTTTGTAATATTTCGATATATTTTGAAAAATACTCAGAAAGTACATAATTTCCGATCGTCCACCAATGGTTACAGCAAAATTAAGATAGAAATTTTAGTATTAAATATATTTGATTGTACTTATAGATCTTAACGATTTTGACTCGAATTTCGTGTTATTTTTTGTGGGCGCTAATTGCTATATGCGCTATTTTCTAGTCAGTCTAAAGATATCGTTAAGAGGTGCGTAAGGTGTCCTAGTTGGAATGGCGTTGTAGGCGAAAGATGGCTGCGCGTCGGCACGTAGAATTACCACACCTGCAAAAGTAAAAGATTTTTCTAAATATAACAATAATATGCGGCATATAAAAGCATAACTTTAACGTATCACCGATAGATGGTGGTATAATCATCACAAATATTTCAGAACAAAATTATATCCATTCTAGAAATAAATTAATTGGGGGGACATGTGACTACTCCCTAATTAGATATAATTTTTTTTTTATAGAATTAGGGTGATAAACGAGCACACAGTCCACCTGATGGTAAGTGGTTGCTGTGGCCCATAGACATCTGCATCTATCTTCGTTTGCGAATTAAAATGCAGATGCGTTGTCAGCCGTGAGGACTAAGATAGAATGCCTCTTTTCCAGTAAAAAGGGTCTCCGGTTCTCTACACTCACCATACGAAACACAGCAGCATTAAGCTGCTATTTTACGCTGGTATTCTGTGAGAGCGTGGTCCTTCCCCGATCGAGCCGACCCATTCGTACTACAACTATAGGTACTATTAATATAGCTGCAGCATAGCTCTACCACGTAAAAATTAACGTAATTGGACTTAAATTGGATTAAGACAGGTGACTGCTCCCTAATCATCTCAGCAGCAATCATCCCGTGGGTGTAGTAAGAGTAGAGACAAGCCAACCAAGAGATGGGCAGCAGCGTCTTTATAACAACTACTAAAAATATAAAACTGTGGTTGCCAACCTGCCCACCAAGCTTGTTAACTATGGTAAATAACCCCCTATGAGGCATCTATCGGGAAGGCCTATGTTCAGCTGTGGATTTTTTATAGCTTATAACGGTAACGATAATTTGTGTTGAAGTAATTTTTTTGCCTATACAATTACTTGGTTCTATAAATAATAAATAAATAAAAATAAAATGCGGCTTTAGCTTAAAACATAGAGACTGAGGGAACTCATGTATACGTATAGATTACGAATACCTATATACATAATATTATAATATATTTACAACTGTACAAGTATCCTCTTTCATGTATTGTACCCATTAGAACTGATTTATATTAAAAGTAATAAAGTTTAAATATTGTATATAGCTTATTTTTATCTATTTCGAAAATTGCAGAGATGAAAGAAAACATTTTAATATTATATTATTTATCAATTGACACATAATTATCATTATATCTTAGAAAATATTTCTTTAATTTAACATTATTCCCACTCTATGAACAGTTGGTCCGGTGTTGTCATTTTATACAGTTTATATTTTAATAATAATAGTAGAAATAAAAATTAAATTGTTTTAATGCAATTTGTATAACAATTTTAAATAAATTGCATTAATAAAATCCAGAACAAGAACCATTTGTAAATAACATTTATTCCGTGCGGGTTTCGGATCCGTTGCCCGTTAAGCCGCACCTAAAAGGACGTTTGAAACTTTCTTTCTAAATGGTTCATAAAGTATTTTTATTGCAAAGACGTGTGTCATTAGCAGGAATTATAATTTTTTACTTTTCATTATAAAGTAACTAGGTAAGTGGAGTAAATATGAGTCTCTGAGAGATGACTACATATTTGTGCTATTTGCTGTAGAGACTCTCGTTCCGTAGGGTCCACATGCGGTGACGTTCCTAAAAGAAACTCTATCCGCGACTGTTCGTTACTGCTGGTGATAAGAGGGTTGGTTCTTTTCTCGCTCAAAGGCTAAGTATTCCATTCCATTCAGCGAGTAAACGCAGCCAGCGTTCTAGGCACGATACCACGGGGAGTAGGACTGTATTATAATTTAAGTTATTAGTTTTAGTTTCTATAGTTATATTTTTTAATATTGTATATTTTTTAATGGTATGTAATATAAGATTATTAATTAAGTTTGATTATAAAGTAGGTATATACGAAACTGCGATATTAAATGAAATTATATATAATAGATTAGCTAACTAGTGAGGAATTAACCGAAAGGACCGCAACCGAAGCGTGATGAACAATCGAGACACTTTCGTTACCTGAGGGGTTCACTTTCACTTTGATCTTGGTTTGCGGCGACAGCACGCCGTAGTCCACGTCCTCGTACAGATCCTGAAAGCATAATAAATTATTGACAGGTTTTAGTTATTTTTAGCTGCAATTAAGTGATGGATTTTCCACTAATACCCGCAAAATGGAACTTACGTGGTAAGGCCATGCCTCAGCTATATTATGGTTGTAGCATGTATGGGTCGGCTCGACCAGGGAAGGAACACGCTCTCATAAATACCAGCGTAAAATAGTAGCTTAATGCTGCTGTGTTTTATATGTTGAGTAAGCGGAGACCCTTTTTACTGAAAACGAAGCATTCCATCGCAGCCCTCAGGACTGGCATTTGAATTTTGATTAGATATCTAGTCATAGATGTCTATGGGCCACAGCAACCACTTACCATCAGGAGGACTGTGTGTTAGTTTGTCACCCCATTCTATAAAAAAAATGCGTATGTCAATCGCTATTTTTAATGTACAAAAATAACGTATTAAAATTAAATTCTTAATTGAAGAACAAATGGTAAAAGAAACTCCAAAAGTGGATCCTTTCTAGGATTAAAAAAGGATCTTTTTATTTTTAATAATCAATAACGGAAAAAAACCATAGACAATCGAAATTGTTTCCACAGATGAGGTGGTTAGCGGATTCTATTACGTTGTCGTTAACAAACGGAAGGGACTGTAGGTATTGTTGGATAACCTACGATTGGATAAACTATACCTATATGGTTATAACCTTAAGGGTTAGTCAACCAATCTACCCGTAACACATTCATTTATTCATACATTACAGCCTATTAAAAGTTCATTGCTGCACGGCTAGCATGGACTGGGGACAAAATTTTTATCCCTCGATTATATCCACTGACAAGAGATAAAATTATCTTGTCCCTATGCCAAAGCACGGCAACGGGGATAAGTATATCGTTTTGCATACCGTTTGACATAACGAGTAGACATAATATATCCCCCGTCCGTAGCATAGAGCCAAATGAAAGATAAAAAATTATGCTTTTTTGACATTTGAAAGGGACAATTCTATCCTAGTTCATTGGACGTGGGTTTAATTTTATATTCATACAAAAAATCTATCTATCTCCCATTTTCATCTACTGTGGATATTATATCCACCGGTGTGCCCATGCTCGAAGGGTAGATAAAACTAAACAAGGGGATAAACATTTTCTCCTTTCAACGGAGATAAATTGTCTCCTGCCCGTGCGAGCCCTGCTGTAGGTACAAACGCCACGCTCACGGATTGCCTATAGGGATGAGTAATAAATAACTCGCTTCACCGTGTAATGGCGGTGTGAGAATATCCATCAGCCATTATCGTCCCGTGGGTGGCGTAAGAGATTCATCTGGGTTTTTTCTGGATCATCGGCTATAAATTTGAAAGATATAAAAAAATGTTTTGATGGACTTTGTTGGAACACGCCCTATATGTATAAGTCAAACATAGATAATTATAATAATAATATTAATGTCCTCCAGACTGACTTCTGAAGGCCAGTTGCAACGGAGTGTAAACATCTGCACCAGGCAAGATTATAGTGAAGGATTAGAGTGTGTATGCAAGCATATGTAGGTGCACTCACGTTTACCGTCACTCTCATCGTCCAATGGGACAGCAATCCGATACGACCAGAGAAAGATCTGGCAAATCGGCGGCTTTACGTACTTTCCGAGCCACGCGGGTAAAACACCGCCAAATTCCACAATTTGGGCTGCTGAGAGTTTCTTGACAGACAAAGCCCTTAACTGATTTTGGCCCGACTCGGAATTCGAACCCGGGACCACATAATCAGCAGTCATGCTTATGATCAATAGACCAACGAGACAGTCCAGTCGTACATCGAAATAAAGTTGTAATATTTGTACACCTATTAGTCTGCGTTTTGTAGAAACACTTTTGTGCAGCTTGACTATTCACAAGTCTTTTTAATTTTATATATTATTTAATGGCAAACAACTTAACAGTATACGCATGGCAAATGGCCACTGCGTCATGTATAACTGCAACAAAATTCCAAACAAAAAAGGCTTCAGACCTTCATATGTATTGTAATTGGGACTAAGATGGAACAGCTCGCAGCCTGCGATGTCATACTATGATAAGACGTGACAGCGTGGTTAAAATTACTTTCGAACAGGGCTCGGAAACGTTATTAAAAATAACGTTTTTAAAACGTTTGGGACGGTTTCTTATATAACATTTGGTCGGAACAAAAACGAAATGAGAACTTAACGTGAGAACATAACGTGAAAACGTAAAAAACGGTTTATTCCGCAGGCAGCTAAGTGAATGGCACCTGCCACGACCAGTTTAAACCTAGCCAAAAATGGGAAAAAAGGTTTAAATGGTAAAAAACGTTTTATTGAACAAGAACGATTTAAAATTGTGTTCTCTTCATAAACGTTTTTATTATGATTCCGTTCGAAGATAAACGAAACAAATAAGTTTTTAGGTATTTAAGGCGAAAACGTTTCGAAAAATATACCGTTATCCGAGCCCTGCTTTCGAAAAATGTTTAAAAAAAACTGCTGGCGTATTCCTGGACTGCCCTAGGCCTAGCAGTGGATTTAAAAACAAGAACATTAAATAAATTTATGTTGCCATTTATTTTTACGATTCTAAGCCAGCACTTGACTTCTCTAACCCTATTGATGGTAAGTGGTGATGCAGCCGAAGATGGTAATGCGTACCGACTTAATAATAGCCTATTCACCTATATATTATTTATATTTACCCTCAACCTATATTGAAGTTGTTTTATATACTGACCTCTAGCCTGTAACCGGCGGGGTTGTTGAGTCCGAGCTCGCGCAGCGTGACGGCGACGTCGGACGGGGTGCCGTCGGTGCGCCGGTTGAGGAATGCCACCGCGTACGAGTAATACTGCCCTTGGATCGGCACAATTGGACGCGACCAGATCTCGATACCGCGGTGCTGGAATGAAGATTTTTATTAATTTTAATTTACAAAAATGAAAAATAAACACACTTTTTCGCAGCTGCAATTAATACAGTAATTGTAAGAGGCGACAGAGAGAAATTAAACAAGACTATCTTTTTCTTAAAAAATTTGAATAATATAGCAAATATGTCCTCATATTTGAATGGTAAATGTAAGCTGTGGCCCAAATACATCATCATCCATTTTCAATAAAGAATTAAAATACAGATGCGTTGTCATTTTTCAGGACTCACGTGGAATAAATATTGAAATGTTATCAGGAAGATGCTGCTGACAATCTGCTGTTTCAGTTTACCTCCGTCGCCTCTTAAAACACTGACGGGATGATATTGGATTCTCTTACGTCGCCACTATACTACATCTAACAGTACAACTAACATACCAACAATAATTAGTTTAGTTATTGTATTTCATGATGAAGTATTGACTTTGGTTGTTGTTAGCCGTTCACATACACATTGTGTTAGTGTGCGCAGGTTGCGGGCGCTCGGGAGTAGTGCTCCCGAGTCCTACGCACACTAACACAAGGTGTATGTGCACGGCTAACAACAAGCAAAGTTAAAACTTCACTCCCGAGGCCTACGCACACTAACACAACGTGTATGTGCACGGCTAACAACAAGCAAAGTCAAAACTTCGCTCCCGAGGCCTACGCACACTAACACAACGTGTATGTGCACGGCTAACAACAAGCAAAGTTAAAACTTCGCTCCCGAGGCCTACGCACACTAATACAATGTGTATGTGCACGGCTAACAACAAGCAAAGTCAAAACTTCGCTCCCGAGGCCTACGCACACTAATACAATGTGTATGTGCACGGCTAACAACAAGCAAAGTCAAAACTTCGCTCCCGAGGCCTACGCACACTAATACAATGTGTATGTGCACGGCTAACAACAAGCAAAGTCAAAACTTCGCTCCCGAGGCCTACGCACACTAATACAATGTGTATGTGCACGGCTAACAACAAGCAAAGTCAAAACTTCGCTCCCGAGGCCTACGCACACTAATACAATGTGTATGTGCACGGCTAACAACAAGCAAAGTCATAACTTTACTCCCGAGGCCTACGCACACTAACACAATGTGTATGTGCACGGCTAACAACAAGCAAAGTTAAAACTTCACTCCCGAGGCCTACGCACACTAACACAACGTGTATGTGCACGGCTAACAACAAGCAAAGTCAAAACTTCGCTCCCGAGGCCTACGCACACTAATACAATATGTATGTGCACGGCTAACAACAAGCAAAGTCATAACTTTACTCCCGAGGCCTACGCACACTAACACAACGTGTATGTGCACGCCTAACAACAAGCAAAGTCAAAACTTCGCTCCCGAGGCCTACGCACACTAATACAATATGTATGTGCACGGCTAACAACAAGCAAAGTCATAACTTTACTCCCGAGGCCTACGCACACTAACACAATGTGTATGTGCACGGCTAACAACAACCAAAGTCAAAAATTCATCGTGTAATAGAATAACTATACTAAATCTCATGTTACGCAATTTGTGAATATATAAATTATACTTATTAAAATATTAGTCACCTTGTATATCCTCCTTCCCTGGATACCTAACGGGTCCTGGTCAACTTCGATAATCTTCCTGTTCTGTAGGATCGCCTTGTACTCGGGCCGAATTGTCCGAAGATCGACGCTCATGAGCAACGGCGCTGCCAGAATGGCCCATATCGCAAATTGGGTTTTGCTCTGCTCGTATGATAAACCGAAGTTTCCAATGATCAGCTAAAAAAATTAATAATTGTCAATTATTTGTTCAGTGGAGTGTATTAAGCGGTGATAAAGTCCCAGGTGGTATATTGCACTGTCTTAGCGTAACAAAATTCTAATTACTCTTGCCTCGAAAACGCCCACATCGTAATCGGTAGTAAAGACAGACGCCAGCAAATTATTACACTCCTTTGTAATACGAATGGCGAAGAAAACCGTTTGATTCGAATGCGCGGAATATCGACAACAAGTGAGTTAAGACCCGCCGATGGTCTGGTTTTTTGGTAGTTTAAAGGAATCAAATATTAATATATGTGTTAAATTAACTGGCCGTTAGGTGGTGGCATAAGATAATTAGTGGTAAAGCCATGCTGCAGCTTTATTAATAATATAGTTGTAGTACGAATGGGTCGGCTCGACCGGGGAAGGACCACGCTCTCACAGAAAACCAGCGTAAAATAGCAGCTTAACGCTGCTGTGTTTCGTATGGTGAGTGTAGAGAACCGCAGATCCATTTTACTGGAAAAGAGGCATTATGTCTTAGTCCTCACGGTTGACAACGCATCTGCACTTTGATTCGCAAACTAAGATAGATGTAGATGTCTGTGGGCCACAGCAACCACTTACGATCAGTCCACCTGATCGTAAGTGTGCTCGATTGTCACCCTTATTCTATAAAAAAAAAATCAAGAGTTACTAAGGCGTCAATGAGAAATTCCACAAAAACTCCAACGACTTTCAATAGATGCCGGTATAAAAATCTTGTTTACGCGAGACGTAAAATAACCAGGCCAATGGCGGGGCGTAGCGTTCAAAAGTGCGAGACATCTGTTTTTGTAATCGCTTTGCGATCTGCCTGCCAAGTAGTGTAACAATTGAGGCAAATTCCATGAGGCCTGTATATTATACATATTTTTTAACAATATTATAGTGAGAAATAATGCATGTATAGAATTTTCTTATCAGGTATATTTGCTAAGTTTGTTTATACAGATGTTTCTTATGTCATCTAAAGGTGAAACCTTCATTGTTTGTCAGAGTTTGCAAGCGACTTGAAAATACCAACTGTGCTCTCCTTGTTAAGCAATTATTATGGGGCTACGATTTAACCAATGTGCTACCTATAAAAAATAAAAAATTGCAAGAAAAACGAGCGTAAAGCGTCCCGAGAATTAGAAAGGGCTTTAAATGTTAACATACATGACTTTGGATTGCACATATACCACAAATTTTCATTTTTGGGTGCTACTCCAGACGACAAACATGAACCTGGTTCCTTTTTTTTATAGGATAAGGGTGACAAACGAGCACACAGTCCATCTGATGGTAAGTGGTTGCCATAGACATCTACATCTATCTTCGATTAAGAGTCAAATGCAGACGCGTTGTCACCCGTGAGGACTAAGATGGAAAGCCTCGTTTCCAGTAAAAAGGGTTTCCGGTTCTCTACACTCACCATACGAAACACAGCAGCGTTAAGCTGCTATTTTACGCTGGTATTCTGTGAGAGCGTGGTCCTTCCCCGGTCGAGCCGACCCATTCGTGCTACAACCATAATATAGATGCAGCATGGCTCTACCACGTCCTTGGAAGTGAAATGCCCATGATCCGATTATAGTATGGAATCCGAAGAAGGAATGAAACAAAAGAAAATTTACTTTCGGTTGTATAAATCTGAAGTTTTTACAGTCAACTCAAAAAGCAAATGGTGCTACCAAGTTCAGGGCCAATAACGAATAACTGATCAAATGATGTGTATATTTAGCATCGGTAAAATTAAATTCGAATTCATAAAAGGAGACGACCAGTTCTGGAAGGAAAACATGGAGGGACTTCCAGAGCTAGTTGATCCTCGATACGAGAGGTATATATATTTTTCTATTTCTTTTTTTTTTAAAAAGTCATCTCCACACTAGGATTTTCTCCTGAATCGCAGGGGCAGTTTACATACTCGTACATAGATTTCACAAGGACAAACATCCAGACCCAGAACAATTATTTGTAGACCATACAAATACTTGTTCCGTGCGGGATTCGAGCCCGCGGTCCTTAGCGCTGCAACTTATTGTAGAGTCACTGCGCCACGGAGCCGTCGAGTCTAAGAGACCATAGCTTACATATGAGTAAAAATATACCGATAACGTGTAAAAGAAAACTTTTACCTGTTTTATTTTTAATTTTTTATCTATATATTTATGATTATACTATGCGTAACATGTTTAATAATTACATGATTTGTGTTTTTATTTCATAATTATATTATATTATACTTTTTAGTAATTTTTATTTCATTTAAAAATGTTTCATTATATGTACAGGTTGGGCCAAAAATTTTTGCAAATAGCAACACTAGATTATTTTGGAAAACCTTTCGAGGGATGTGCGCGCGGGTGGCGGGAAACTGCGTCACTTCATGTAATTTTAGTCAAGATGGATCGCTCAATAGCGTGCTTTTTGTGTAAAACAATTTTACAAAAACAATGATTCCTACGTTACTGTACAAAGCCTGTTTAGAATTGGATTACGTCGTATAAGTGAGTGTCCAAATGTTAATTTGATCAAAGCTTGGGTCGAGAAGTTCGAGCAAACGGGATCAACAACGAATATTAAACAAACAGGGCGGCCACGTTCAAGAAGAAGTGATGAGAACATTCCAGAGGTCGAAATATCCGTACGGAACGATCCAGAATCATCTACGCGTAAGCGTTCGGCGGCTCTGGCAATACCAAGAACTAGTCTACGGCGGATTTTGCATCTGGACCTCAAACTACACCAATATAAGCTTCAAATTGTACAGGAGATGAAACCAAATGATTACATTCAACGTAAGTTATTGGCTGACACTATGCTGGAGCGATTCTCTAGCCTTGAGAATGTATTGTTTACGGACGAGGACCATTTTCACATCAATGGGCACGTGAATAAGCACAATTGTCGATATTGGAGCAGGGACAACCCTCGCCTTAAACACCAAAAGCCACTTCATTCACCTAAAACGACAGTATGGGCTGCCATATCAGCAAAGGGCATAATTGGTCCGTATTTCTTTGAAAATAATCAAGGAAATAATGTAATTGTGAATTCAATGGAATACGTCAAGATGTTGCAAGACTTTTTGACGCCGCAGTTGCATGAATTTCAAGGGTACAACAACAGGACCTGGATGCAACAAGATGGAGCAACATGCCATACGTCAAATGTGAGTTTACCGGAAGTCAAAGAAATGTTTCCGAACAAATTGATGTCTCGCAGAGGTGATATCCCTTGGCCTCCCAGAAGCCCGGACCTTACACCATGCGATTTTTTCTTGTGGGGATACCTGAAAAGTCGAGTGTACCTTAATAAACCGACGACAATATCCCAATTAAAACAAAACATCCACGAGGAGATAGCCGCAATCCCCCGCAGCATGTGTCAGCGAGTTTTCCAAAGTTTGCGTAGTCGATTTCAGGAGTGCCAACAACGAGACGGCGCACATTTGGACGACGTCATTTACAAAAAATAAATTTCATTAAATGATTATTACGATAAATAATTTATCAACAAAATAACATTTGTAGTTTTATTTCTATTCATGTTTCAAAAGTGCAATAATTTTTGGCCCATCCTTTATGTAACATATCAAAGCATCTCCAAATATGAATGCCATCCGTCATGTTGGATATCGTTAGTTAGAGAACCATTGCCAAGGTAATCTTTAGTGTATTAGGAAGCCTCTGCTGCTCATCTCCTGATTTAGTTTCCCTTTGTCGCCTCTTACGACACCCACGGGATGATATAGGGTGGTGGCTATTCTTACACTTCTACTACACGGCTTGTAGTGGGTTATGTTACCCCTTAATTTCACCACATGCATACATATCAAAAACACAAAATAGTTATGAACAAAACACATGCGATATGCGTATTTACCATATCGGGGTCATTCCAATGTCCGGGGCCAGCGTTGGGTACAATGGCGTCTTGGTGGTTTCCGTAGTAGTCTATGATAGATTCGACGGACGCCCACGAGTCTTGTATGTCATCGAAGTTGCGCCACAGGTTGCAGTGTTCAATGATCGATGAGAAGTTCGGCTGTGGTAAGAGAATAGTGAAATTTAGTTTCTAAATCATACTAAGTATAGTTATTCTATTTCACGATGAAGTTTTGACTTGAGTTGTTGTTAGTCGTGCACATAAACACTGTGTTAGTGTGCGTACGCTGCGGGTGCTCGGGAGTAGCGCTCGCGAGGCGTACGCACACGAACACAATGTGTATGTGCACGGCTAACAATACCAAAGTCAAAATGTCATTGTCAAATAGAATTATATAAGAATTATACCTACTTACAATAACATATTAAGCACATGCTCACAGTCAATGTATCACTAACTAGTGAATATAAAACAAAGTCGTTTATCTGTGTCGGTAGTTGTAGTCGATCAAATCTTTAAAACTATTTGACGGATTTAAAAAATGAAACTACTATCTATATCTATGGATCCATTGTTAAATGAACCATTCTAACTGTACTAATAAATAAAAAACGTTAAAAATTTGAGCTTAACAGTGCATGGCATGCCCGAACGGAACAACCTATAAAAGCAGCACTTTTCAACCGACTTAAAAATAGGAAGAGGTTCTAAATTCGACTTTATTTTTTATGTATGCTACCTCAGAACTTTTTTCTAGGTGAATCGATTTTTATGATTATTTTTTTATTTGAAAATTGATGCTGCATGTCGTCCCATATAAATTGATCAAGTGCTGATAAGTAGTTTTTGAGTTATCTTTAATAATGTGTATTTAATTGACTTCGACTACATTGATGATGTTCTCATTTTATTAATATTGAAGTCTGTTGTACCAATTTTTAATTTTTACCACTTGTACATAAGTACGATGCATGTGGCAGACTGCGTTCCTCAACCGTATTAAATGGGAGTGGACGACGATTCTTCATACAATGCTCGCAAAAGCAATGGCCTTTGACAGAGCATGACTCCACAGAGTCAGTAATTCATTCTTGGGGCAATGTATACGCTAATACAACAAGGTCCCGGAAAGTGTACAGGTTCTCTCTATTACCAAGTTTAAATGTTTTATTAAGCTGAAACTGTATAAAAAGGGTTATTATAGTATAAATGAATACATTGTTGATAATAACCCCTGGGAATGAGGTGGTCGCTTCCAAGCAGTTTCTAAAATAAATTTTGTAAATAGTTCATAATCATTTATATTGTAAAATTTATTTAAAAAAAAGTCCCGCTGGGTTTCTTGCTGGTTCTTCCCAGGACAGAGGGATTTTTTTCGAACCAGTGGTAAAGTAAAAAATGACTTTCAATAAGAATTACATATGTAATGTATATTGAATAAAAAATATTCTATTCTATTCTATTCTATTCATGACATACCCAAGTCTATCAATACATACATATACTATCCAAATTTAATTTAAGGCACTATAAAATGTAAGTGCGCAGGAATAGATTTTAAATAATTAAATATATATCATACATAGATAACGATACGCCTGTCCAAAGAGCATATGGGTTTAGATCGAATATTTTAAAAGAAGGTGACAGGTGGCTGATTCATCGCCTACACAATCACAAATCCAATATCAAATTATCCGTCTTTTACGTCATGCTGGGCAAGTAATACAGTTGGCACATTCTTTTTTGTTTATATATCTCTGTTAACCAAATGATTTACAAGACCCCAGATCAACATATACGATGTTTGATACATAAATTTAATTAGCACCGTCCTATAATATATTTCATGCATAAAATCTTACTTGAATTCCGGCGTATATCTGGTAGACGGGCCAGCTGCATGAGTAGACCATCTGTCGGCCGGTGAGGTTGAGCTGGCGTCCAAACTCAGGGTACCCGTGGTCCATGTCTACCGGTAAGGCGTAGCAGCCGTCCAATTTTACGTAATCCACTCCCCATGCCGCGAATGTCGCCGCATCTGATGTAACAAAAAAAAACAGAGTTGAACCATATACCATAACCATGTCACTACGTAAACTATCAAAACTGTCGATTTCTACATTTTAAATTAGCAGACTTTAGAATAAACGCATACTTTGGTGGGTGATTTGGCAAACGTAATACTAAACGCGTTGTAATAAAAATAGATAGGTACTGTCCTATTTTCAACCGACTTCAAAAAGGAGGAGGTACTTAATTCGACTGTATGTTTTTTATGTGTATTACCTCATAACTTTTTTCTCGGTGAACCGATATCGGCGATTCTTTTTTTTATTTCAAAGCTGGTGTTTCTCATGTGGTCCCATATAAATTTGATCAAGGTTTGATCAGTCGTTTCTGAGTTATACTTAATAATTTATATTGGAGTCGGTTGTACAAAATTTTTAATTTTACCACAAGTAGGTAGTAAATTTGAAGTAAAATATTTTACAGATGGCTATTTTCTAACAATTTATGAAAGGTAAAGAAACTTATTGAACCAAAGTGTGGTGGCCATTATTCATAACCGTATAAGTGTGGTCAAAGTCGTTTAATGAGCTACGGAGAAGCCTAGATGTCTGTGTTGCTCGGAGCTTCTCTGTGATAACCAGGTTATCAGAAGAAGATCAGAAGTTCTAACCAACATTCCAAAAAGACAAGTAAACAAAAGTAAAAGCCGATCATAATATAACAAAGAATCTGGAACACATAAGGGAGAAAGTTTTGAAAGGAGAGTCCGATAATCAAATCGATGTCACCAATAAAATAAACCTTATTACTGAGTCTTTAAATCCCAGAGTGGGTAGTCAATGCTCTTGCTATACTGTTAGAAGCTGTCTCGGTAGCGGCGTGAAGTACCACTTTGTTTGGCAACTTGAATTTCAAGCTTATTTAAGCTTCGTACTGGCAAGCGTAGTGTAGCGCTAACCAATATTACTCATAGATAACCTACAGTAAACTCCACAGATTTGGACGTTAGAGCTGTATGGTGTGCTGTAATAACGTTAAGTTTATTTAAATAAAAAAAATAAGTAAAAACCGACTACAGAAAGCTAAAACGAATATAATCTATATAAATAAAATCTATCATTTTATTTAATTTTTTTATTTAGACACATTTATATATTTATTTAGACAGACGCATCACGGAAAAACTACTGGATAAATTTCCTAAGTTTTATTTCTTAAAAAAAAAAAAATAAATGCGATATCTTCATTTAATACAAAGTTATTAAAGTTTTAAGAAACTACGCTTTTGTAAACAAAGTATATATTTGCTTGCGATCTTTTTGATGGTTTTTCCTTCGCACATACGAAAACTTACGAAAAGCAACGCGGACGAAGTCGCGGGTATCAGCTAGTTGTAGATAAAAGAATTCTTCACCCATAAGTCGTGCAGACGCCTTTGGAAATTGGAGGGTATGATGATTTTCTCATGAATAATATCATTAGGTCTTGACCAAACTTTTATGGGACAACTCCTGAGGTACACCCTATCTAACAAAAAAAGTAATATTTCCCTCTTTCTGACAAAAAAGTATCATCATCATCATCATCATCATTACAGCCCTTCACAAGTCCACTGCTGAACATAGGCCTCCCCCAAAGAATGCCACAAAACACGGTCCTGAGCCACCTGCATCCATCGACTTCCTGCATGTCTTACCAGGTCGTCACTCCATCTCGTGGGGGGACGCCCTACACTTCGCCTACCGGTACGAGGCTGCCACTCGAGAACCTTTCTTCCCCATCGGTTGTCGGTTCTTCGAGCTATATGGCCGGCCCACTGCCACTTCAGCTTACTAATCCGTTGGGCTATGTCGGTCACTCTGGTTCTACTGCGGATATCCTCATTCCTAAGTTTATCACGCAGAGAAACTCCGAGCATAGCCCTCTCCATAGCTCGCTGAGCGACCTTGAGCTTCCTCATACGGCCAGCAGTGAAGGACCACGTCTCAGTTCCGTAAGTCATCACTGGCAACACGCACTGGTTGTACAATTTCGTTTTAAGGTTTTGAGGTATGTCTGACGAGAAGATGTGTCGTAGCTTCCCGAACGCTGCCCAGCCGAGTTGAATCCGTCGATTGACCTCTCGGTCGAAGTTGGACTTACCCAGTCGGACTATTTGTCCCAGGTAAACATACTCGTCAACAACTTCGAGCTTAGTGTTCCCAACAACTATCGGCATAGGTGTGACATGGACATTAAACATGATCTTAGTTTTGTCCATGTTCATCTTAAGACCTATCCGTTGGGAAACACTATTGAGGTCATTGAGCATAGTGCTTAGGTCCTCCAGCGATTCTGCCATAAGGACTATATCGTCGGCAAATCGAAGGTGAGTGATGTACTCGCCATTGATGTTGATACCGTATCCTTTCCAGTCCAGAAGCTTGAAAACGTCTTCCAATGCAGCGGTGAAGAGTTTCGGGGATATGACGTCACCCTGTCTTACACCTCTCTGCAATTGGATAGGTTTCGTACTCTGGTTCTGTACTCGGATAGCCATCGTAGCCCTACTGTACAAGCACTTCAACACTTCGATATACCGACAGTCAACTTGGCACCGCTGAAGGGACTGCAGCACCGCCCAAATTTCGACGGAATCAAAGGCTTTCTCATAGTCCACATACGCCAGACATAGTGGCAAATTGTACTCTTCGGACTTCTGTACAACTTGCCGAAGGGTATGTATGTGGTCTATGGTGCTAAAGCCCTTTCGGAAACCGGCTTGTTCGGGAGGCTGGAAGTCGTCAAGTCTGCGCGCGAGACGATTCGTAATGACTCTCGAAAACAGCACGTAGACGCGGCTCAGAAGGGAAATCGGTCTGTAGTTCTTCAAGAGAGCGTTGTCACCTTTCTTGAAGAACAAGACCACCGCACTTCTGCTCCACGCCTCCGGTGTAATGCCACCATGGACGACGGAATTAAAGAGCTTCTGAAGGACTTCAAGTACCGGTCTTCCACCCGCTTTCAGAAGCTCCGCTGTAATTCCATCCTCGCCTGGGGCCTTACCGTTTTTAAGGTGCTGGAGAGCCATCCTAATCTCGCTCAGACTGACATCCGGGATATCTTCGGAATAGTGTCGGACAAAAAAGTAATCAGTCATTAAAATCAGACAGCGTGGTAAAGAATTATTGCTAATATTTCATGTTACTAAAAAGTGTTAAGAAATTGAATGAAATTCATGAATTTTACAAGAATTTTGCTTGCAATCATTGAAAAAAAAAAAGAATTGATAAAACGTGCTAAATTAAACGTTACTTTAACTATAAATATAACAGCTATTTTAATTTGTGGTTCTTCCTTTGTCTAGCCCATTCATCCGTGCTACAATCATAATATAGGTGCAGCATGGCCCCAACCATGTTAATTTTTTTAATACTACTTAAAAAAATCTAGATTCTTATGGTTACGCCACGAATGTAGGGCGTCACAGATTTGCATCAACACTTTATTGAATAACTAAGGCGTTGTATGTGCTTACAAATTGATATGAGCTATTGAATATTTACTGGGAGCCACAGTAACCTAGCGTGAAATAAAATTACCATTGTCCATAATTGATATTCATCAAGAGGCGTCACGGAAAAAATGTACCAATTGCTTATCATGTAAGTTATGTAAGGCGCCACGTGCAGACTACTCATAGATCAACTGTTGGCTTCAATGTTTGCTCCAATATTGGTGTAAGCAACTAACTATATAAGATGCATTTATAAATTTGTTATAAAAAATCGGTAAAGAACAATCGGCTTGCATAATTAGTGTTCAGTGTTATCAGCCTACCCTTATCGTAATGCTTGGATTTTTATTATAAAGAAATAATTATACAATTAAATTGTTTATTACCGCAGTGTTTTATTATTAGTCGTTATTATGGAGACGCTGCTGCCCATATGCTGATTTGTTTCCCTCAGTTGCCTCTTACGACACCCACTGGACGATATAGGGATATATATATATATATATATATATATATATATATATATATATATATATATATATATATCATCATCATCATCATCATCATTACAGCCCTGAGCCACCCGCATCCATCGAACTCCTGCATGTCTTACCAGGTCGTCACTCCATCTCGTGGGGGGACGCCCTACACTTCGCCTACCGGTACGAGGTCGCCACTCGAGACCCTTTCTTCCCCATCGGTTGTCGGTTCTTCGAGCTATATGGCCGGCCCACTGCCACTTCAGCTTACTAATCCGTTGGGCTATGTCGGTTACTCTGGTTCTACTGCGGATATCCTCATTTCTAAGTTTATCACGCAGAGAAACTCCGAGCATAGCCCTCTCCATAGCTCGCTGAGCGACCTTGAGCTTTCTCATACGGCCATCAGTGAAGGACGATATATATATCGGATATCCTAACACTACCACTATAAGGTAAATCATATTTATAACTAATGAATAATAAATAAGAAAACTGCAAAACCGTCTACCAATCGTGGCAACAATGTCAATTATGTTCACCAGTGGATTTGTGATGGGGATACATTTACGAAACAATTTCGCAAAAAAACTGCATTAGGAGATTAGGACGAGGTGTTAGTGGAGAGCGTACGTCGGAACGTGCAGCGTAGCAACAAACACATGTGTTGTATTAAGCGTTGTACGGACTATGCGTTCCAATGTGCGCGTATTCAGTTACGCGTACATTTCAACGCATAGTCCGTACAAGACTTTAGAGTGTTTTGAATGGCATCCGCTCGAGTTGTATGGGAAAGACGCCAAAACGAATCGCACACCTCCGAACGCTTTCCAATGAGGTTGCTGTATGCCTAACAAAAAATCTATCTCTTTCACAAAACGGAGGCGTTGCTTGAATCAAAATTATCAGGATTGAAAATGTAATGCAACTGAATGTATATTATGCTTTATGTACACGTTTATGTATACAGTGGACTTCGTTTTGAAAAGACTTAATTATGTCGGTCGTTAAAAAAACTTAGCCACTTTGTACTGTTAAGCTTCTGAAATAATTTTAACTTAATATTTCTATGGATTTTAATAACAGCCGCACGAAATAAGTTTAAAACTATTTTGCATAAACTTCAGCTCTTTGTATCAATTACCCGTAAAATATTAACTGAAGCGTATAATATAAGCGTTTGGTACATACTCTAGTAAGGTTCACATTTGCACGAAACTCTAGCAATGTTATTAAATAAGTTCGTGAAGGTATGCCTTAACGACCGTAAACAATATTAGAACTTAAAGCACGAAGATTAATGAAATCAACGTTAACGAGCGTCTTCCTGACCGACACAGTTTGTTATTGCGTAATGCACTTCAATTCACGTCAGTTCCGTTCTACCGATTAACTGAAGCACGCGAACAAATTAAATAAATAATGGTAGCTGGGTTCGTTGTTACGCCTACACATTTTTACCATTTAATTTGCTTGATTTATTCTTGAGTGTTGTTAAATAAATATGTTGCGATAAGAATCTTTGTTATCCTTTTTTTTATTTGCATATTGTTATGGTTATGATTCTCAAAAAATACTAGCGTAAAATAGCAGCTTAATACTGCTTTTACGCATGGTGTAGTGCTGTGAACCGGAAACACTTATTACTGGAAATAAGACATTCGATTTAATCCTCAAGGGTTACAACGCATATGCATTTTGATTCTTAATTGAGGACAAATGTTGGTGTATATGGGCCACATCATTCACTTATCATCAGGTGGACTGTGTGCTCCTTTGTTAATCTTAATTCTTAAAAAAAAGTTTTGATGAAAAAGATCGTGGTTGGTGTGGCGTGCATTAGAAAGTCAATTAGGTACCAACTGTATAATAAAGCATTCTAAGAATTTCTAAAGATATGTTGAAAAATTATGAAATCTTAATTTCACACGCCTGTAATAAAATTTACGATTTCTTGGAGATTAAGAAGGCATAGAATTATTTTTTGCTGTAGTAATCAGGTAGCTCAATACCTAATTTTAAAATCCAACATAATTGAAATATTATGTATACTAGCTGTAGCCCGCGATTTCGCCCGCGTGTAATTTAGGGATTTAATTATGTTGCGCGGAACCCTAATTCTTTCTCTAAAATATAAGTAGCCTAAGTTACTACTTATAACATCAGCTATCTGCCAGTGAAAGTTCCGTCGAAATCGGTCCAGCCGTTTCGGAGATTAGCCGGAACAAACAAAAAATTGTATTTTTGTTATAAGTACCGTATATACTTTCATATGGATTTAGTAAAATGCTGTTATTTTGACATTACAAACAGACACTTAAATTTTTTTTATAGGATAAGGTGACAAACGAGCACACACACCACCTGATGGTAAGTGGTTGCTGTGATCCATAGGCATCTACATTTATCCTCAATGAAGGGACAAAATGCCGTTGCATTGTCACCCGTGAGGACTAAGATGGAATACCTCTAGCAGTAAAATGGGTCTCTGGTTCTCTACACTCACCATACGAAACACAGCAGCGTTAAGCTGCCATTTTTGGCTGGTATTCTGTGAGAGCGTGGTCCTTCCCCGGTCGAGCCGACCCATTCGTGCTACAACTATACTACTAGTATAGCTGCAGCATGGCTCTACCACGTATAAAAATTATTTATTTGTATAGATGTATAGACTATAACACTTCATTAATTCATTCATAACAGGCCATTAAAAGTCCACGGCTGAATATAGGCCTGCCCAATAGATTGTCTTTGTAGGGGGAATAGTGGCCATACTTGCCACGCTTTGCAGGCGGCAACAAAAAAAGATAGCAGCGCCCACCTCCTGTTTCAGTTTCCCTCTGTCGCCTCTTAAGAAATTCGCGAGATGTGAAATAGTAGTAGGTATTTTTACGCCGCTACTACTCATACACGGCAACATTATGTTTATACTTATTATAGGTACCTACTTAAATCAGACAGCCTCGTCGATCTAGTGGTCTAAGCGCAACTGGTGATCATGAGGTCTTGGGTAAGAATCCAGGGTCGGGTCAAGAAATCTCAATAGTCAACAGTCAGTCAGTCAGCCCGGAGTCAGAAAGTTGGCAAACACTGCATGCTTTAAGGAAAAATTTATTTTAATAATGTTATTATGCGTAAGTACTTTTTACTTCTTTATAATGTTTAAAACTAGCTGTTCCCCGAGACTACGCCCGCGCGTAATTTATTACGATTGGATTTCATGGGTTTTAATTTTTTTTCGCGGAACCCTAATTCGTTTTCTAAAATGAAAGTAGCCTAAGTTACTCCTTATGGCATCAGCTATCTGCCAGTGAATGTCCCGTCAAAATCGGTCCAGCCTTTTCAGAGATTAGCCGGAACAAACAGACAGACAGACAGACCGACAGACAGACAAAAATTTTAAAAATTGTGTTTTTGTTATAAGTATCGTATATACTTTCATATGCATCTAGTAAAAAGCCGTAATTTTGACATTACAAACAGACACTTCAATTTTATTTATTTGTATAGATATAGAATTAAAATAAATACCTCCGGCAAGATGGCCCACCACACCGGGATAGCCGGCACATGTGAAATTGCCGTAGTCTTCATAAATTCCAAACTTCAATCCTTTGCTATGAACCTGGAACAAAACAAAGATTATTTTTTAAATTACCTATATACAAAGAATAATTACGAATTTGTTTTTTTTTATTATAATGTGGTATAGTTTTAGTGTGGTTTTTAGACTACTGAAACAGATTACACTGATACTATATCACATTCGTTATAGAGTAGGTAATTGTTGGATTAAAAAAGTCATTTTTTATAGCATGAGGGTGGCAAACGAGCATACAGTCCACCTGATGATAAGTGGTTGCTGTGGCTCATAGACGTCTACATTTATGCTCGATTACGAATCAAAATGCAGATGCGTTGTCACCCGTGAGTAAGATGGAATGCCTCGTTTTCAGTAAAAAGGGTCTCCGATTCTCTACACTCACCATATGAAATACAGCAGCGTTAGGCAGCTATTGCACAGAATAGCTATTACATAGAATACTCCACCAAGGAAAGACCACGCTCTCAAAGAATACTAGTGTATTCTGTGAGAGCGTGGTCCTTCCCCGGTCAAATCGATCCATTCGTGTTGCACCTATACTAGTAATATAGCTGCATTATTAACGTTTTATTTATTCTTATTACATTGTTTTCTGTTATTTATGTTGTTTTTCGGATACAGTATGCCAATATTTAACGTACCTGTTATAATAAAAATACTGAAAATCAATATAATAATAACATATCAAAAAGACACAAAATGTTTAACATATTATGTAATTGAGTATTGTTTGAAACATTGAAAGAAACGGAAAAAATTAAATCATATCCAGCTAGCCCTAATTAAAGTTTAGAAACATCTCACACTATGTTCTTTAAGACAATAATTTGCCAATTGAAAGATAACCAGTTTGTTGCACAGCGTAACAAAGTAAAAAATTTGATTGTTATCTGTGATAATTGCAATACACTAATACAATAATAAAGTCAGGGTTACCACATAAATTTAACAAAATTTAGGACGGCGAATATCGTTATTGTTAATTATACAAAATTAGAGTATCGTTTATGATCTGATAACGTCGACAAAACGTTTAAAACGGAATAGAGTTTATAAATATTTTATTTATTTAGGTTGTTGGAAAATTTAAAACGGTTATAACGATTTAACTATGTACCTATGATACGTTATACCGTTACCGTTACAACCTACAAAAAGTCCACTGTTGAAAATAAGACAAATATTTGCCATAGTTACCATGCGTGGTAGGCTGGTTGGTAAGCGCAGTCTTTTATGTTTTTAGGTTGTTATTAGGACAGCTTCTGGTATTTCCCCTCTGTCACCTCCGGCGACACCCACGGGACGATATTTGGTATTGGATATTCTTACATCGCCATTACATGGTGATACGTTATATAATTTTATCCAATATCTTTTATCACCGTAAATTTGAAAAATTACTAAAAATGATCGATTGACTTGGACATGGGCCTTTTTTTTTCATAACCGCCATGCTTCGCAGGCGGAATGGTTATCGCTGCCTTAAGGCATTTTATGTACTATTGAACGAAAATGATTTTATAATAACTTCTTATTTTCCAATTGGTATTAGGAATTAATTCGCTGATCACACATTACGATGTTATCTTTAAGTAATCTAAAAAAAAAACCTAAAAGTACCGCAATGCCATGATGCGTTAGTTGAAGCATAGCTAACTATGCAATATATTTACGCAACGAATAAATTGGTACTTAATCACCTGCAACTAGAACATAGAAAAACGTAGTAGCTGACTTATATTCACATTTTATTATTGATGATAGAACGTCAATGTGTTTAGCATGGTAACACTGATAATATGGCGCGTGAGAAAACCAGTTGTTGCGTCGCCATTCTGAAATCGAAATCCTTGTGACAGTCTAATGAGGGTCTTAATAACTTCCTTAGTTTTCTCTTCAAAGCCATACACATACAGAAATTTCTTAGGCAATATATTACATTGTAGTGGTTGCCCGTGATTGAAATTCAACCATAGTTCATAAAATTTTTAATTTTGTATATTATAAAATAAATGCTTTTTTGTCTTGCCATAACACTCCTCAGATTTTTAAAAAAGGAACATTTGAAATCACACAAAATTCACAGCATATTCAGTCAATATGGTAGTAATTATTTGTTGGCAATATTTTAAAATTCTTTTACATGTTATGTTACCATAAGTTGGCGAAAATCTCGACTCTGTGCAACTGTTTGACCACAGACTATTATCAGCGCGGTTGTACTGTGCCTTTGAAAGGTACGGTTTCTTTACTCATGTGTCATTATGTTATGTACTCTACGTATGTTTGACATTATCAGTATAAACTTAAAAAATGAAAAGAAGATGATAAAGATGATGTTACGATATTTATTTTTAATTTGGACTTGTCACAAATTATTTCATATTTAATGTATAATCCTTGGTGTCAATAATCGTGTAACGTTTTTACCGATTGACGTCACACAATATATTTTTGTGAAAATGATTATTCAGCTATGCTAGGATTTGATAGGTGGTGCTGTAAAGTTATTAAAGAGTTCTATATTTATGGGCCAAAACCAACCAGAAACAGAAACTTTTTTATTCAATATAGATTATAAATAATGCTTATTGAAAGTCACTATTTTGTTTAATTACCACTGATTCGAAAAAAAACCTCTGTCCTGGGAAGAACCAGCAAGAAACCCAGTGCGACTTTTTAAAAAAATAACAGTTTACAATCATGTAATCAAAATTAACCACACAAAATAAAAAAGAAATTGCTTGGTAGCGATCACCTCATTCCCCGGGCTTATTATCATCCATCCAAAAATCCTCATGTTCACAATATAAGTTGGATTAGTACCTACCAAAAAAGAAAATCACTAAATCTGGATCCGAGTATGTGACCGATAAATTAATATTTTTTTTTATATTTAGGTACATTAAAAAGCAAGGATTGAATTCTGAACAAACTACGAAAAGGTTAAAAAAAAACCCTATCGGGAAGGGTAAGACTACGTCGGCCAGACCAGCTAGTATTTTTTTTGTTGAATAAGGTTAACAAACGAGTACACCGTCCATCTGACGGTAAGTGGATGCTGTGGCACATAGACATCTACATCTGACTGAGCATCTAAATGCAGCTATGCGTTGTTAACCCTGAGTATTGAGATGGAATGTCTCGTTTACATTAAAAATAGTCTCCGATTTTCTACACTCACCATTTTTTTCAGGATAAGGCCATCTGATGGTAAGTCGTTACTGTGGCCCATAGATTTATCCTCGTTTGCAAATCAAAATGCAGATGTGTTATCAGCTGTGAGGACTAAGATGGAATACTTCTTTTCCAGTAAAAAAAGGGTCTCCGGTTCTCTACACTCACCGTACGAAACGCACCAGCATTAAGTTGCTATTTTGAGCTAGTATTCTGTGAGAGCGTGGTGTTTTTCTGCTTGAGGTGATCTATTTGTGCTACAACTATATTATAGCTGCAGCGTGACTCTACCACGTTAATTAATTTATAATTTAAATATGCATATATAAATTATAAATTAAATAACTAACGACCTTTAGACATCCCATCTTTATATATTAAAGCATTCTTTAACATATAAAGACTTTCTTTTGGGGACATCAACCACGGATCATATTTACTTCCAACAATACACAAATTGTCTTCTACAATCATGTTAAATCTAGGTATTCGTAGTAGTTAAATGGAGTTATCGTGTAAACTACTATCTACACTTTAAAAAATCCTTCAAAATATCGTAGTTCAAAAAGGAAGGAAATGAGGATATGTTGTTAAACTGTGTAAGTTGAAAGCATTTGAAAAATACACAACTACTATTAGCTTTGGCTTATCCAAACCTTTTCTTACGTCATCTTTCATAATCAAGGCTGTAGTATTAGGTGAGCTGAATAATACAGTGATTAATTCAGCAACTTATGTCAGATTGTGTGTGGTAGAACAGAAAATGGGCGAAAATGGCTTGGAACTGAGGGATAAGGAGATTTTTGAGTTGCGCCAAATCTTTTTTCTTTTAATTAATTTGATAACACAGCTTTCTTAATTTAATCTCGAAACACAGACAAGATGGTCAGAGGTGCAAATGGGCATGGCACCTAAAGAAGCTACCGTTTGAGAACAGAGTTTAGATTCCATTCCATCTTTTCAAAAAATCCCGCTGGTTCTTCCCAGGACAGAGGTTTTTTTCCGAACCAGTTGTAAATTAATCAAAAGAGTGACTTTCAATAAGTATATTTTATTTTCTATATTGAATAAAAAAGTTTCTGTTTCCGTTTCTATGGGCGACGCAGAAAGAAAGTGATAATTTATGTTAGTGATTAACAACTAACAGTTAGTCCATAGTCAGTAGCTTTATTTTTAGTAGAAACAAAATTACTAAGTACAAGTAGTTAGAATTTTTTTTTATATATAATCCATTCAACACTGAATAAAACTAATTTTACGTATTTGATCGCATTGAATTTAAATTCTTTTTACTTATTTTAAACCAATAGTTTGAATATTAATTTTATATTGTAGATCGAATGCAGTAAAACACCCGAAAGATTGGGAATTAATATAAGTAAAAATTTAAAGGATAATATCAGTGCAATATTCGTGTAAATATAACAAGTCAATATGCAATTCTTACAAATGTTTCAAATGCAACTGGCGATTGTACAAGTCCTTCGTAATCCTTGCAGTATTGATGACTTCCGTCGAAAGTGGGCGACCGCAACCAGTTTTCAATTGACGCAACCGAAATATATTCTCAGGACTTAAGGATATTCAATGTTTTAGAATTTGTTTGAGTTTATTATTCATTAATACATATTAGTGTTATGCAAATCATTCGATTGGAGAACTGGACATATAGGTACTGCTCATGCAATTTAAATTTATATTTAAAAGTACGTTTACTTTTTTGAAGTTGGAATCTGATTTTTCTTGTAAAACTGAAGAGCTAACAATCAAGCTTTATAGGCAGTAAGCGTCTATTAAAACCAATGGACAATGCAACCGTTGGAATGTCTCAACGCCTGTAAATA